AACATACCACAAAAGGGACACGACGATGAGTCTCTCCAACCCTAACATCTTCTTTTATTATAAATTATATATAGGAATCATTCTCTTTGAAAGAAGATATTTCACAATTGAGCTTAGCAGTAAGCTCTTGTTGAAACTCTTTGAATTTCGCAATGGTATATGCATCTTGAAATTGTTTCTCAATACCATAACTGCTTATGCAAGGGATCCATGATTTGAAAGATTTAAAATTAGCCTCCGTTTCTTTCTCCACTTTATCACGCAATGCATTCTCATACTGTTTCACAAATTGTTTTAAGGTGGTTTTTGAATTAACATATCCATCAAAGAATGCATGCATACTTTCACTACGTTGAGTGGTAGACATGCCTACCCAGAAAGTATCTTTTACAAATGCTGGCACCCAACGTCCTCTTTCATTATACAATCCAAATAACCATTCTTTGGCCTGAAGGTTGTGTTTTTCAATGAACCTATTCCAGCGTTCTTCAAACTCCTCACGTGTCAATGAATCACACACTGCATTTTTTAAAGAAAACTTAATAGAATTATATTGGGAATAACCTTTTAACTTTTCAGGTAATTTCTTCATTATATGCCACAAACACCATCTATGTCGTGTACCTGAGAACATAATCTCAATCGCATTTTGCATTTCCTTATCTTGATCAGTGATTATTGCCTTTGGAGGACAATTCATCATACATGCAAGTCAAGATTGAAAAAGTCATACAAATGTCTTTGTGTCCTCGTTAGAAATTAACTCACAACCAAACAATGTTGAATATCTGTGATGATCAACACCAACAAAAGCCGCAAATGGCATATCATACTTATTGGTCAAACATGTAGTGTCGAATGATGCAGCCCTACTTCTTGCATCCACCCATAGAGTATTCTTTAATCGACCCTCTTCATCTAAATCCATTATGTAGAAGAAATTTGAATTTTCATTTTGCATTTTCAAAAAATATTTTTGAATTGCAGAAGCTTATTTCAAATTTATTTTCTTGCCTTTTGAGATCAAAATCACTAATTAAAATTTTATATTCAAGTTTAGAAACCAATCTTTTTCAATTGATAATATAGCCATTACCTAATCTTTCTTGTGACATAGTTGAACGCAAATAAGATTTTATTAACTTTAATTTTGAAAAACTTCTTTCTGCTGAAGCTACATAACAGAATAGTTAACAGTATTCTATAAGCTATCCATGCATTTGGAAAAGAATTCACCTTTTTATAAATCTAGTATCTCAAGTGGTGTTTAATTTCCACGTTTATAATTTCTTTTAAAATTTTTAATTCTGAATATAAATCTAAACCATCAATATCAAGAGCATGTCATGTTTTAAAAAGTTTTCAAGATTAAACAATGTTTCTGCAAACTATCATCATCAAACAATTTAACTTTTTTATATTATAAATGAAACCAAAATTATTACTATATATTTCAAATTGTTCAAACCTACTTTGAAGTGAGGAAATGGCATGATCAACTAAATATGTGAAATAATTATTCTAAAAGATTCTTCAGTAGACATTTCTTCTCTTCGTTTCATCCTCATCAAATTGTTTTTTTCTCTTATTATAGCTTTTTATGAATTTTGGTTCTATATTCATTTGCTCTGCAATCTCTTTAGTAAAAATCATAGAAGATGTAACCCATTTTCTCTATATTTTTAAAAATGAAACAAGACCTTTCAACTGATTTGTTGCAACAACAATGTCCATATTTTTAGATTGTAATATTTACTACCGTATTAACAGCAAATAACATTTCATACCAAATATTCATGCCTAATAGAAATTCAATTTTCAATCTATGTTACTAAAGAAATAGCTTCACTTTTTGTTTTAGGATCTTCTAGTTTCTCGATAATGATATAAAGCATCTCTTATTTGTGGAGCTTGAATTTTATTGCTTTAACACTTTCAACACGACTTTCCCAACGTGTTTGTGATAATGGCTTAAGTGTCAAATTAGAAACATGATCTTGCAAAATTTTCCATCGTTTGTAGAAGAAGAAAATAATGGATATATACGTTGTGTCACTCCAAAAAATGTAATAGCATTAGTACATGAATTAGTCATATCACAAAGAACTAAATTAAGACTGTGACAACCACATGGTGTATAAAATGCTCTAGAATTTATATCTAATAATCTTTTTTGCACACCTTGATGTTTACCTTTCATTAGACCCATTATCATATCCTTGTCCCTCACATTATTTACATCAAGTGAAGATTTTTTAATATAGTTGTGAGAACATTAAAAAGGCCTTGACCAGAAGCATCATCCACTTTTATAAAACTATAAAGTACTCTTCTATTTTATTGGACTATTGAAATATCTACACATCTTAATATAAGTGACATTTGTTCTTGATCACTTGTATCTGGGTACAATCAAGTATAACTGAAAAATATTTTGATTCTTTGATTTTTTTAATAATGGTATTTCTTATTTCTAATGCTAAAATATTTATCACTCATTTGTAATTATGACCAAGATAATAGTATGAATTTCTCCATTTGAATACGCTAAGGTGTTCTTGCATTATTGGATCAAACTCAGCAATCATTTCAATTAAACTCAAAAGATTTCCATTATTTCTTGATAATCTTCTCATTTGTACCACGAAATGCCAATATTTTTTGAAAGATTTTTACAAACCGCTATAATCTTAATAGTCATTCTTCCAAGCTCTTTCTCTTTATTATTCTCTCTTGTAAATATTTATCAATTGTTTTGTTTTTAAGCAATCTCATCTCAACATCAACCCAAATGTTCATATTTATAGCTGCTCATTGCTTGTTTCGTGACTTTAAGCTTGGCACTAAGATTTTTCCAATCTCCACACCTTCTTTGCTAATTGAATTGTATTTGCTTTTAAACTAAATAATTTACAACAAAAACAAAATCTTTATTTATTCTTTTGATATATTAGCCATTTTCTATCATGTTTTTCTCCATTTGGTAATTTTCGAATGTAATGAATTGTAGAAAAATGTCTAGAATTTTCATCTCTTGGAAAATCTAAAACTTGTCTAATTGGACTTTCTCAACTAATAAATCACATAAGTTTGTGTCTAAATTATTCCGGGTACCGGGTCATAATATTTTTAATAGTTGTTTTATCTATATCATTAATATTTTCATTTTTGTCGAATGAAATGTCTTCTCTAAATTTCATGAGACTCTTCACTAGTATTTGATGAATTTGAATTTTTATCTTTAAAATTTCTTCACAATTTTCAATTGTTTTTTCATTTAAATCTTCATTTGGTTGTTTCTAGCATTTGGTGTTTTGTATTAATAACAAATTTATCAAGTGCACCTTTTTGGGATTGAATTAGTTCTTCTATTCTTTTTTTTTTTTCTACGTTTTTCATATCCAGTCATATTCAAAGAATAAATTATTTAAGCTCTTAATATTATTTTGTTAAAATAAAAATAATTAAAAAAATAAGAAAGAACTTTAGCACCTGATTTATGCTCCGGGTTTTGCTTTTTGCTGGGTTGATACTCAAAAATCTTATATTATATCCTGCATAAAAATAATAATGTAAATCAATTATTCACTTGATCAAAATAAATAAATCAGTTGAGAATACAAGAGTAAAATGAAGAGTAAAATGATTTAAAGCTCTTAATATTACCTTGCATAAAAATAATAATAATGTAAATCACATTCACTTGATAAATTTATGTAATAAAGTTAAGAAATGAGAGACAAGAGATGAGAAAGGAGAGACAAGAGACAGATGCGAAAGGAGAGACGAGAGTAAACTGAGTAGAGATTAGAGAATAATGAAAGTAAAAAAATGAGAAAACGTTGAAGTAAAATGAGGTTTATAGAGATTTGGGGGAGAGGGAGATGTGATTGATATTTGAGAGTTGGAGATTCGTGAAATTGTATCAATTTTCAACGGAAAAATAGCCGCCAATTGTGTTTTAAGTAAGCATGGTTATTGGACAGATGGGGGATTGATGATAATTATGAATATATTAAAATACTCTTAAAAAAAAATCTTAGGTAAAGATAGACATAGGCGAGTTCTGGTGGGATTGATAAGAATTAAAAATTATAAATAATTTTAATATTTTAAAAATAATTTGAGGCCCTCTTTTTTATCCCTTTTTTGGGGGGCCCTGGCACCTCACCTGCCTAGGGGTTAAGCCGGCCTGTCTGCAATTATATAACAAAAGCCATGTTATCTATCAATAAATAGAATAAAAATAAGAAAATAATCAACAAAATTGATGATTACTAAATTTTTACCTTCAACTTTTTTATCATTTTCTTGTTTTCGCAATTTCTTTTTTTTATTTTAGAAAGAATTTGTTCACCTTCAACTACTTTCTTTTTAATGGAGGACACCTTTGCTGTGGACAGCCCGTGGACTAAGAATATTACAATTCCCTTCTTTAGAAATACCATCACACTTTCACAATTTATTCTACTATTAGCTGACTTACTGATAACATTTGATAATGAAGTAGAAACTTCTTGCACAAAATCTTTGTTATTTATTTATCCAATATTCCAATTAAAATTGGTTTATGGTGTATCTACCAAAAAAGTAAATATCTCATGGCTATTTGAGGCACAGGTTCTGATTATGGCATTGGTTTGATACAAGTTTCATAAATTGTGTGATTGATCACCATGAAGAATGGCTAAGAAATTTCACTTCTCTCCCACATGAAAAGAAGACAATTAACCTCTCTAAAGATGTTTTACTTTATCATTATGCGTTTCAATTTCTGATAATCTGTTTCCTCTAAAAATTTGATCCAACTTCTAGATTGAATCTTACACATAGCTGAAGTCCCATGTAGACCTGGCAATTTTGCCCCGAAACAAAAGTAATTCATACAGGTAAAGGAAAGCAATTGCTTTTCTTTTAATTTCAGTTTAGCGTATTTCTTGAGAAACTTCCATGAAAGAATTATCTTCATGAACAAAATTTCTCTTTGTTTTACATTTCGGTTAAGCTAAATACTTCTCCAATTTCTCCACTTCCTCCTGACTTCCAATGTAGAGCGGAACACGCTGGTGTATCTGTTGAAAGGAAACAACCAAAGCATCTTAGTACCTAAGTTTATCAAGAAAAGTGCATAAACTCATAAGAATGTTCTCACCTCAGTTGGTTGAATGTCAAGTACTCTTTGATGGTCGTCTGATCCTTTTCCGCCAGCTTGTTCCACAATGAAGCTCATCGGTGCACACTCATACAAGAGCCTCAGCTTCCCATTCTTGCTCTTCTTGTCTCTGGGGTACTCATAAATGCCGCCATAGAGAAGGGTCCAATAGAAGTCACCAACCAGGCTGCCAATATACCTGTAAGACAAGAAGACAACTGAAACTTAAGCATTAGAGTTTCGTAAAATATGAATCAGAATAGTAATGCAAAAGAATCCTAATCTTATTAGAAAGAAGAGGAATGAAATCGTCAGCAATGACATGCAAGTTTAGGATCAAAGGAAATGCTAATATGAAGTTCCAGAAGAAGCGCCTTAAACTGATACATGTAACTGCTGTGGGAAATTATTCATGTGAGTCATCCAATTAATGGTAACTATTCTAACAGTCAATAAATAATTAATCTGACTACTTGTGAATATTATTCATTCTTTACTAATCCCTCTCACACAACTAGCAAGACCACCACTATGATAAGCGGCAATGATCACACCATAAACACCTGCAAAACACTATAGAAAATGCAGCAACCAAGCTGCAATAATAGAAAGAACTGCCGAAAACCAACCTCCCCTGGAAGAGCCTCATCACTAGTACCAAATATCCCTACAGTCACACAAACAAAAACACAGAGGTGTTGCATCTCCAGACCCCTTCAATATGCTACAACTGCTACTACGTTGCAACAGTCCCAAAACCTCCCCTGAAAACCTGTACAGAACTGAGCCAACTATAACCACATATAACAGGCCCGAGCTTCACAACAGCACACAAACACAACAGAAACAAAAAATGCAGCTTACAAGCTATAAATCCATCAAATTCTCCCAAAACCAAACTTCTCTACAAAACACTACACATACAGCAAAAAAGGTGCAGTATTCAAGCTGCAGCAAAAACAGATATCAAAGGACACTAATCACGTATTGAAATCCCACATGCTTCGGCATCCAACAATTCTGCAATCAGGGCCGTCTCTAGAACATTTGTGACCCTAGGCAAGATTTATTTTAGGGCCCTATTTATAATATAAGCATATATTAAAAATTATTTCAAATTTATTTTCTTGCCTTTTGAGATGCAAAATCACTAATTAAAATTTTATATTCAAGTTTAGAAACCAAATCTTTTTCAATTGATAAATAGCCAAATTACCTAATCTTTCTTGTGACTAGTTGAACGCAAATAAGATTTTATTAACTTTAATTTTGAAAAACCTTTCTGCTGAAGCTACAGTAACAGGAATAGTTAACAGTATTCTATAAGCTATCCAGCATTTGGAAAAGAATTCACCTTTTTATAAAATCTAGTATCCAAGTGGTGTTTTAATTCCACAGTTTATAATTTCTTTTAAAATTTTTAATTCTGAATAATAATCTAAACCATCAATATCAGAGAGCATGTCATGTTTTAAAAAGTTTTCAAGATTTAAACAATGTTTCTGCAAACTATCATCATCAAACAATTTAACCTTTTTATATATAAAGAAACCAAAATTATATCTAATATTTCAAATTGTTCAAACTACTTGAAGTGAGAAATGGCATGATCAACTAAATATGTGAATAATTATTCTAAAAGATTCTTCAGTAGACAATTTCTTCTCTTCGTTTTCACCTCACAAATGTTTTTTTTCTCTTTATTATACGCTTTTTATGAAATTTTGGTTCTATATTCATTTGCTCTGCAATCTCTTTAGTAGAAATCATAGAAGATGTAAACCCATTTTCTATATATTTTTAAAAAATGAAACAAGACCTTTCAACTGATTTGTTGCAACAACAATGTCCATATTTTTAGATTGTAAATATTACTAACCGTATTAACAGCAAATAACATTTCATACCAAATATTCATGCCTAATAGAAATTCAAAATTTTCAATCTCATATGTTACTAAAGAATAGCTTCACTTTTGTTTTAGGATCTTCACTAGTTTCTGCTAATTGATATAAAGCATCTCTTTATTGTGGGCTTGAAATTTATTGCTTTAACACTTTCAACACGACTTTCCCAACGTGTTTGTGATAATGGCTTAAGTGTCAAATTAGAAACATGATCTTGCAAAATTTTCCATGTTTTGTAGAAGAAGAAAAATGAGTATATACGTTGTGTCACTCCAAAAAATGTAAGCATTAGTACATGAATTAGTCATATCACAAAGAACTAAATTAAGACTGTGACAACCACATGGTGTATAAAATGCTCAGAATTTATATCTAATAATCTTTTTTGCACACCTTGATGTTTACCTTTCATATTAGACCCATTATCATATCCTTGTCCTCTCACATTATTTACATCAAGTTGAAGATTTTAATATAGTTGTGAGAACATTAAAAAGGCCTTGACCAGAAGCATCATCCACTTTTATAAAATCTATAAAGTACTTCTATTTTATTGGACTTATTGAAAATCTACACATCTTAATATAAGTGACATTTGTTCTTGATCACTTGTATCTGGGTACAATCAAGTATAACTGAAAAATATTTGATTCTTTGATTTTTTTAATAATGGTATTTCTATTTCTAATGCTAAAATATTTATCAACTCATTTTGTATATTATGACCAAGAAATGAGTATGAATTTCTCCATTTTGAATACGTCTAAGGTGTTCTTGCATTATTGGATCAAACTCAGCAATCATTTCAATTAAACTCAAAAGATTTCCATTATTCTTGATAAATCTTCTCATTTGTACCACGAAATGCCAAATTATTTTTTGAAAGATTTTTTACAACCGTATAATTCTTAATAGTACATTCTTCAATGCTCTTTCTCTTATTTATCTCTCTTGTAAATATTTATCAATTGTTTTGTTTTAAGCAATATCATTCAACATCAACCCAAATGTTCATATTTATAGCATGCTCATTGCTTGTTTCGTGACTTTTAAGCTTGGCACTAAGATTTTTCCAATCTCCACACCCTTCATTGCTAATGAATTGTATTTGCTTTTAAACTAAATAATTTACAACAAAAACAAAATACTTTATTTAATTCTTTTGAATATATTAGCCATTTTCTATCATGTTTTCTCCATTTGGTAATTTTCGAATGTAATGAATTGTAGAAAAATGTCTAGAATTTTCATCTCTTGGAAAATCTAAAAACTGTCAATTGGACCTTTCTCAACTAATAAATCACATAAGTTTGTGTCTAAATTATTCAGTGTACCGGGTCATAAATATTTTTAATAGTTGTTTTATCTATATCATTAATATTTCATTTTTGTCGAATGAAATGTCTTCTTCTAAATTTCATGAGACTCTCACTAGTATTTGATGAATTTGAATTTTTATCTTTAAAATTTCTTCACAATTTTCAATGTTTTTTCATTTAAATCTCATTTGGTTGTTCTAGCATTTGGTGTTTTGTATTAATAACAAATTTATCAAGTGCACCTTTTTGGGATTGAATTAGTTCTTCTATTCTTTTTTTTTTTCTTACGTTTTTCATATCCAGATTCATATTCAAAGAATAAATTATTTAAAGCCTTAATATTATTGTTAAAATAAAAATAATTAAAAATTAAGAAGACTTTAGCACCTGATTTATGCTCCTGGTTTGCTTTTTGCTGTGTGATACTCAAAATATATATTATTATCCTGCATAAAAATAATAATGTAAATCAATTATTCACTTGATCAAATATAAATAAAATCAGTTAGAATACTAAGAGTAAAATGAAGAGTAAAATGATTTAAGCCTTAATATTACCTTGCATAAAAATAATAATAATAGTAAATCACATTCACTTGATAAATTTATGTAATAAAGTTAAGAATGAGAGACAAGAGATGAGAAAGGAGAGACAAGAGACAGAGCGAAAGGAGAGACGAGAGTAAACTGAGTAGAGATTAGAGAATAATGAAAGTAAAAAAATGAGAAAACGTTGAAGTAAAATGAGGTTATATAAGAGATTTGGGAGAGAGGAGATGTGATTTGATATTTGAGAGTTGGAGATTGCGTGAAATTGTATCAATTTTCAACGAAAAATAGCCGCCAATTGTGTGTTAAGTAAGCATGGTTGATTGGACACGGTGAGATTGATGGGAATTGATAAATTAGAATATATTAAAATACTCTTTAAAAAAAATCTTAGGTAAAGATAGACATAGGCGAGTCTGGTGGGATTGATAAGAATTAAAAAATTATAAATAGATTTTAATATTTAAAAATAATTTGAGGCCCTTTTTTTATCCTTTTTTGGGGGGCCCTAGGCACCTCACCTGCCTAGGGGTTAAGCCGGGCTGTCTGCATATATAACAAAAGCCATGTTATCTATCAAAAATAGAATAAAAATAAGAAAATAATCAACAAAATTGATGATTACTAAATTTTACCTCAACTTTTTTATCATTTTCTTGTTTTCGCAATTTCTTCTTTTTATTTTAGAAAGAATTGTTTCAACCTTCAACTACTTTCTTTTAATGGAGGACGACCTTGCTGGGACAGCCCGTGGATAAGAATATTACAATTCCCTTTTTAGAAATACCATCAACACTTTCAAATTATTCTACTATTAGCGACATATTTTCTCTTTTACCATTCCTGCCAACACCTTCATTCGACATCAATTTTTCTTAAGATCATTGATCACTTCTATCACCCATATTATAATCATCCTCACTATTTGATGCATAGTCTGCTACAATAGAAATAAATTAGACAAGTGATCAAATCGTGTGCCTTCAAGATTGATGCTCCAATTATTATAACTTATTTTAACCCTGGTGTGACATATGTTATAATTTTCCTCCATTGACAAATGTACTTTTCTGGTACATGAGAAATTTCCTTGTGAACAACACTACAATTGCTGTTGACAAAAGATTCCTTTAAACTCAAACAACTGACAATTGCAACGACATCACAAGTTGCTTCGTTAAAACATACCACAAAAGGGACACGAGAGAGTCTCCCAACCCTAACATCTTCTTTTATTATAAATTATATATAGGAATCATTCTCTTGAAAGAAGATATTTCACAATTGAGCTTAGCAGTAAGCTCTGTTGAAACTCTTTGAATTTCGCAATGGTATATGCATCTTGAAAGTTTCTCATACCATAACTGCTTATGCAAGGGATCCATGATTTGAAAGATTTAAAATTGCCTCCGTTTCTTTCTCCACTTTATCACGCAATGCATTCTCATACTGTTTCACAAAATGTTTAAGGTGGTTTTTGAATTAACATATCCATCAAAGAATGCATGCATACTTTCACTACGTTGAGTGGTAGACATGCCTACCCAGAAAGTATCTTTTACAATGCTGGCACCCAACGTCCTCTTTCATTATACAATCCAAATAACCATTCTTTGGCCTGAAGGTTGTGTTTTTCAATGAACCTATTCCAGCGTTCTTCAAATCCTCAAGTGTCAATGAATCACACACTGCATTTTTTAAGAAAACTTAATAGATATATTGGAATAACCTTTTAACTTTTCAGGTAATTTCTTCATTATATGCCACAAACACCATCTATGTCGTGTACCTGAGAACATATCTCAATCGCATTTTGCATTTCCTTATCTTGATCAGTGATTATTGCCTTTGGAGGACAATTATCATACATGCAAGTCAAGATTGAAAAAGTCATACAAATGTCTTTGTGTCCTCGTTAGAAATTAACTCACAACCAAACAATGTTGAATATCTGTGATGATCAACACCCAACAAAAGCCGCAAATGGCATATCATACTTATTGGTCAAACATGTAGTGTCGAATGATGCAGCCCTACTTCTTGCATCCACCCATAGAGTATTCTTAATCGACCCTCTCATCTAATCCATTATGTAGAAGAAATTTGAATTTCATTTTGCATTTTCAAAAAATATTTTTGAATTGCAGAAGCATCTCTAACACCAAGTCGGAGCCTCCTAAATTTTCAATGTAGTCTACAATCTTTCTGTAGAAAAGGCAAATTCTCAGGACCACCAGCTTCTACTACAAGGAACTGAAATTTTTATTGGGTCTAATCCCAGCCCTATCGTTTACTGCGAGTTTCCTTTCGACGTATGGTTTTATTATTCGATTGGCCTTGAAAAATCTAGTTTTGCTAAGACTATTAAGTTCATGGTTATGATCAAGGACAACTGAACATATTTGCCAACTTCCATCAGAACGTAAAGCTGCACCAATCCGGGCTTACAATCAGTTTTCGTCACACGGAGGCATTTTAAAGGCATTTCTAGAGATACTGTCGACTTCCCACTACAAGCACAAGAAAGTGTTGCGTATTTAACTTTCCATCCTCTCCTTGTTGAAGATCTTATAATAGCTTCAAAACCCATTTTATTCTATAGCTTCTATAGTATTGCAAAAGTCTATCAAATGAATCAAATTCATTCTAGGCTTAAGCTCCAATTCCTCTTCTAAATTCTTGCATCTTTCTATTTCTTCCTAATTAGATATTATAATAGCCGTACTTAACAAAAAGGTAGAAATAATACCATAAAAAAAACTATTATATACATAAAAAGAGATTACAAAGAAAATGACCTCAACGACATTGAATTGAGACGAAGAGTTCTCTGATTTAGTTTTACTGCATTCTTCCATCTTGGTATTATGATGTTAACAGCTGACCAAATAAAATACAAAAAAATAAAAAACAAAAATTTTATGTTATAAATATGATTCATTAATTCAATTAAAAAATAATAATATTAGTACTTCATTGATCTTCTAGAGCAAAACCACATTCAACTCAATTCCTAGAGCAAAAGCAATTTCAGTTTCTAAAACATTCTACCCACTGCCACCACTTTAAACATCGCTGCACCACCACCTTTTCAGATGTTTGAAATTGATTCATGGCTTACAAGTTTATGTTGTTTAATAAATATATTAAATGACTTTTAACTTTTGTAAATTTTAACTATAAGGTTAAATGAGTATTTCATTGATCTTAACATTAAATTTTACGAACGGGAATTCATTATTCACCCATGAAGGGAATATAATGTTTATTATTTAAAACTATATTAAAAATCAATAAATAATATAAAATATTTGTATACTCATAGACTCTTTACATCTTTGAACAAAAATTGACCAACGATTTGGTAGAAAATGTTGGAAAAATCTTATTTCAATACCAATTAATAGACCACATTCAAGTTCAACCAATACAATTACCGTTGCAGAAACCACATAATTAAGCTATCTAATGTAAACTGACATTTATTTTAATCAAAGTAGATGTAGCTAAATTACAAAAGACCTGAAAAAAGGAAACAAAAGACCAAAAAACAATGTAATAAAAGAGCTAATGTTTCATACTCATAGCAAGGCCCAAAATCCAAATTACATATCTGCATTTTGACTTCTTTATGTAGGCACATAGTGAAATTCACTTTTAACTTTAACAATCACATTGAGATACAACAGATCTCACCAAACAACTAGAATACAACTGAAAGCAACTAATCCTGTACCTAAAGGTCTTCCTGGAATTTGTAATGAACCAAAGCTGCAGAATCATTGACGGAAAATGGAGACCATTTCTTGGTTACACACCACTTTACTTGAATGCTCCTTAACTTTCCAATGGGACCCTGTAACACAACTAGTAAACATAGAACCAAAGGCATAAATCCACTTATTGATCAAACAGTCATGGTAAATGATTCAAGTCATTGAGAGGTAAATAACATCATATTTCCCAATGCATAAATCATTTTCAGACCACATTAATAGAATTCCTATTTCTTATCGTGGAGTAGGGACTCTAATCATTCAATTCTAAACCCTTTTCTTTTTTGTGGATTGAAATTCCACTACAAAAGTCTCTTTCTCGACCTAGTTTGTGGGATTTGAACTCTTTCTCTTTTTTTTCTTACCTAGCTGGTGTAATTAAAAAACCCCTTTGTTCATAGGAATTACAGAAAACTTTTGAGGATTGTTCCTAGGATGTAGAATCCTCTTCTTTTTGTTTTCTCCTAGGTTTCTTTTTCCCTCCTCGAATCTCTCAATCAGAAGCTGGAGAGGAGACATGGCATATAAGAAGTGGAACTCACTCGAATAAAGAGAGTGTAGGCTCACTCACAGGTCAGGGGCTAGTACAGCAAACAGGGGTTTCAATTCCCACAAAGCAAGTGGGAAATCAAAAAGACCTGCGAACTAAAGACTTTCCATGAGCATCAAACTCTTGTATGGTCTTTATTGCTTGGGAACCTCAACCTCGCCTATCCCCTCGAAACAACTCTATGGCTCACTTCAGGTATTACACTCGCTTGAGTTAAATCAAGCTTTAGAATATCTTGCACAACTACATTATTCCAAATAATGGCATAGCACTGCCTTAGGTCTAAATCAAATGTTATTTCAACCAAGGGCAAAAGACCACTTACCGTCCTTAATGCAACAAAGAATCTTTCTCCATATCAACGTCCAAGTTCTAACCTTTGAGTAGGTAAGATTAAGAAATAAGTTAGCTCCAAACCAGAAAATGTCCAAAACATTTTATTGAAGGAAAATGAAGATTACCTCTCAGCAGCTTCTAGAGAACAAGGCGATGGAGAAGAGCGTGAAGATGAAGAGAGCGATGGAGATGGAAAAGAGCGATGAAGATGAAGAGAGGAGATGGAGAAGAGCAGATAGCAGAAGAGCGCGAAGATGAATACAGCGATAGAGATGGAGAAGAGCAGTTAGCAAAGCAATGCTAAAAACGGTGATGGAGTAGAGCGCGAAAGAGGAAGCGTGGAGAAGAAGATTGAATTATTGAAATGATAAAATATTTAATGATGACGTGGCAATTGATGACGTTCGGATGATGTGGCATTGCCACGTCACTTTGTAAAATCTTCTTTGTATTTGCCTTTGTACAAGTAGTGTTATTGAATAATTAATTGCTCAGCCTCACAAAGCTAGAGAGATGAACCAGACATTGAACAAGTCAATTAATATGCATTATTCCTCTAAGCAATAAAGAACAACCCTAGAGCTAACCATGTAAGCAAAAAGGAAGTATCAAACCATGAACCAGATACAAAAGTTTTACCAACAACTAAGATCTCACATCAAGTTATAATCTCTAACTACCAGAAAACGAAAAGCATTTCCATCAACTTCAAGTGAAAATGCACTCCATCACAAATTTGACTATAACAGTATGTGATGTGCCTTAAAAGGGAGAAACCCAATTATACTAAACAATAGAAAATTTCATATAATTGTTTTGAGAGAACAAACTTGTTTGTGAATAAAATAGATAAATAGAGAAAACAAAAGACAGTTAAATAAAAAACAGTAATCACCTACACCAAGAGCTAGTATATTCGGAAGAGGATGTGTACAATAAAACAGGAAGTGAGAAGCGCAGTTTGTGTGACAAAGAAAGCTTCTACCTGATGTCCAAACTTTTTTCCAACCTGCTTAAACTGTAAGGAATTGATATGAAGAGGCAAAGAGTAGCAGTTCAGGATGTTGATACTGCCAAAGTATGCCGAGAGAAGAGAAAAGAGGAAAAGATTTCTGTATATTTCATTATTGTATTAATCTGTACAGTGCTAATTTATACACCTTTTGTAATTGTAAAAATGGAAAACAATGAATACAATTAAATGTAATTATTCAATCAATCACATAAATTATGGATTGGTTAAATGAGAGAATTGCTCCTTGATCATAACCAGCATGAATCAAGGAATTTGTGCATTCCATATTTCGTCACTCCCCCTCAAGCTCGTGGTTTGTAAATGTCAAAAACTCCAAGCTTGCTAAGTAAATATGAATGTTGTCTGCTGCACAATGGCTTTGTGAAAATGTCTGCTGGTTGTTCTGAAGTACGAATGTGCAAAGTCTTGATTACCCCTTCTTGTATCTTGTTTCTGACAAAGTGGCAATCAATCTCTATATGTTTTGTTCTTTCATGGAATATTGGATTTGCTGCGATGTCATTTGCAGCTTTGTTATCGCAGTATAAAAGGACAGGCTTTCTTACTTGTACCTTTAGATCTTCCAATAACCCCAAAATCTAGATGATCTCACATGTTGTTTTGGCCATGGCTTTGTATTCGGCTTCTGCTGAAGATAGAGATACTGTTGATTGTTTCTTGGTCTTCCAAGAAATAAGAGAACCTTGTAAGTGACTTTCTTGTCATTAGACATGTGGCCCAGTCTGAGTCACAATGAGCTGTGACAACTAATTCTTTATCTTGGGGAAGGAGGAGTCCTAATCCAGGACATCCTTTCAAGTACTTTAGAACCTTTATTGCTGCATCCATGTGAGATTGTTTGGGCCCATGCATGAACTGGCTAAGAATGTGGACTACATAACTAATGTCTGGACGAGTCATGGTGAGATAGATCAATCGCCCAACAAGTCTTTGATACTTTGTAGGATCTTCCAGTGGTGGATCATTTTCGGAAGATAATATCCCACTATCATATTCTTGAGTAGTCAGCTTTGTATTATGTTCTACTGGAATGATACTTGGCTTGCATCCTGATAGTCCTGAATCAGAGATATTTTCTATTTTTTTTTTCTTTTGTTTATGGTTTTTTTTTTTTGGGATCTTGCAATTTCAATGCCTAGGAAATACTTTGGCTCTCCTAAATCCTTTATTCAGAATTGTCTGTTAAGATTCTCTTTTAAGGATTTGATGCATGTTTCATCATTCCCTGTAATAAGAATGTCATCGACATATATGATGAGAGCAATAAAAGTTTTACCTTTGTTCCAAGTGAATAATGCATAGTCATGTTTAGACTGAACAAATCCTATGCCAGTGAGAGCTTTACTGAATTTCTCATTCCATTGTCAGGATGCTTGTTTTAGCCCATGTAGGGATTTCTGCAGACGACATAATGTGTTCTCCCTTTGTCTACGTAATCCCGGCGAAAGATCCATGTATATTTCTTCATGAAGATCCCCATGAAGAAAGGCATTATGAACGTCCATTTGATGGAGAGGCTAGTCACGGACAAAAGCTACTGTAAGAAAAGTACAAACGGTGACATGTTTGGCTATGGGGGAAAAAGTGTCCTGATAATCAAAACCTTCCCGCTGAGTGTATCCCTTGGCCACTAAGCGAGCTTTATACCGTTCTATGGAGCCATCAGCACGATGCTTGATTTTGTAAACCCATTTACAGCCAATAGGTTTTCTATGGGAGGGGCGAGGCACAAGATCCAAAGTATGATTCTGAGAGAGAGCAGTAAGCTCAGCAGCCATGGCTTGACGCCAGTGAGATGTTGAACAGCCTCTGAGTAACTAGTGGGTTCTCTTTCTGCGGAGATGTTATTGATGCAAGCTCTATATATAGGAGAGAGACGATCATAAGTCACATAGTTTGAGGTGGGATACAGTGGAGTTGAAGGATCTAAAATGGTGGGACACTCATAATCTGCTGCCCAGATTGGTGGTTTGGGCTGACGAGTGCTGCAGCTGATAGGAACAGTAAGAGCCTGAAGAGGAGAGCTAGGTGGAGGAATAAGGGGTTGATCTGGTGGGTCTGTTGTAGTGTTATCAATGCTGGTTGTGTCAGGGTCAATACTAGGCTGAAGAACTGGTGGATTAGGAACCATAGTGAGCAGAGGATCTTAAAGGGTATCATTGTCAGGGAACACCGGAAGTGATGGTGATGATGATGATGATGGAATAGGTTATTCTGTGGCAAATGGAAAAATATCTTCATGAAATACAACATCTCGGGAGATCAAAAACTTGTTGGTAACTGGATCATATAGCCTGTATCCTTTCTGAAGCATAGGATATCCTATAAAAACACAACGGGTAGCCCGAGTACCAAACTTATCATGTGATCCAAGAGTGGCAGCATAACAAAGATAGCCAAATACTCGAAGATGATCAAGAGATGGTTGCTTCTGGAATAATACCTCATAAGGGGTCTTCCCATGAAAGACTCTACTGGGCATGCGGTTGATCAGGTAGGTAGCAGTGATCACACATTCGCCCCAAAAGGAGATAGGTAGGTGGGCTTGGTGTTTGAGGGCACGGGCGACTTCTAGGAGATGACGGTGTTTTCGTTCGACAACCCCATTTTGTTGGGGTGTATAGGTGCAAGAGCTTTCATGCAGTATCCCAAGTGATAAAAAAAAGGGATGAACAATTATGATTAAAAAATTCTTTAGCATTGTATGTTCTAATCCTTTGGACAGAAGTATGAAATTGTGTGTTGACCATGGCTAGAAAGTGTGTGATGTGGGTAAGTGTTTCAGCTTTGGATTGCATGAGAAAAGTCCATGTACCCCGGGAAAAGTCATCAACAATGGTGAGAAAAAAAGGGGATCCATCATGATTGGGAGTGTGATAAGGTCCCCAAATATCAAGATGGATTAGGGCAAAAGGTTGTGTCGTAGTGGAAATGCTATGTGGAAAAGTAATTCGGGCTTGTTTAGCTAACGGACAGATGGGACAATGAGGTTGGGGAATAGTAGCACTGTGACCTAACCTTTGATGGAGAATAAAAGAGTTTTTATTAATTGTTGCATTACAACTGGTAATTTTATTGGGTGTGATACACGGATGAAAAATTCTAGAAGACTTAGCTGGTGCCCAATAGTATAGACCTCTATGAACCTTACCCAAGCCCATCAGTTTCCCAGTCGAAGGGTCCTGAAATTCACATGCATTAGGACATAATTTTACAGTGCAAGTATTGTCTTCACATAGTTTTGATACTGATATGAGGTTAAAATGAACGGTAGGGACACATAGAACATTTTTAATGAATAAATTTTCGGATAATTGGACAGTGCCTATGTGAGTGGCCGGGGTTATGTTTCCGTTTGGCATGCGAACAGATGTGGATGAGGTAGTGCAAACAGAGTGGAAAAATTTTGGATTACAAATGACGTGATCACTAGCCCCTGAATCAATAATCCACATGTCAGTAGTAACTAAATTGAAACAGTAGGAAGTACCTGCATAAGACACTGTAGGTGCAGTGGGAGCATTATTCAGAAGCTGAAGCAATTGATTATATTGATCTGAAGTGAGAACGGGTGCTTGCGGATTGCTGGAAGAAACTGAATCAACCTGAAAAGAAGAAGAATTGTTATTTTTGTCTTTAGGGCGTCCATGTAATTTCCAGCAATGGTCTCGATCATGATTGGTCTGTTTGCAATAGTCACAATATAATCGCCCCCGATTAGAGCGTGATTGTCAGACCCGTTGGACCCGTTTCTGGATCTGTTTGACCAAGGCTTGGGCCCAGTTGACCAGTTGGTTGGCCTGTTTGACTCTAATTGTGACGTGGCTCGATTTGAGCCGTTAGATGCATTTAAAAACGCCACCAGCTTCTGACCGTCAGATGCAGAGATGAAATCTGGGCCTTTCATCTCTGCATATAAATTCATGCCTTTTTCTTTTGCAGGTTTCCCTAGTCGCGAGCGCCAATCTTCATTTTCCTTAAGCCCTGCAAAAACTAGAGAGTTAGTGGATGGCCGATTGGAGTTCAACTGGCGTTGGCTCTCATCCTACACCGCCAGTTGAAAACTCCGGCGAAGGGAAGGTGGTGGAGAAGTGGCTTAGTGGATGGCCGATTGGAGTTCAACTGGCGTTGGCTCTCATCCTGCACCGCCAGTTGAAAACTCCAGCGAAGGGAAGGTGGTGGAGAAGTGGCCAGAACTTGGGTGCGAAAAGCATAAAAGCTTTCGTTCAACCCGAGCAAAAAATGTGACAGACGATCCCGATCGCGGATCTGTTGGTACTAGTGGAGGGTTTCCGAAAGCCCTTCAAGAGATTCCTCAGTAGCGTCCAACTCGTTCCGAACGACAGAGAGCCGATTGAAATAAGTGGTCACCGAAGCGTTTCCTTGTTTGAGTTCAATCAATTGCTGCCGGAGGGTGTACGTTTTAGCGAGATCGAGTTTCCCATACATTTCTTTGATGTATGCCCATATATCGGCGGCCATCTCTGTTGGTGGGAGTCCGGCCGAGACGTCTGTAGAGATGCAATTACTGATCCATGAGCGGACCAGTGTGTTGCAGTTGTTCCAGTGGCGTTGGAGGTGTGGCTGTGGTGGTGGTTGGAAATTTTTGTCCAGGAAAAACTCTTTGTCTTTTGCGATGAGAGCTCGCCGGAAATCGCGAGCCCAGGATGCATAGTTGTCTGAACCCATGAGGATTTGTTTGATGAGGACCAATTCTGGTCCATCGGAAACCGACGAAAACAGAACATCGCCTGGTTCAGCGTGACCGTTGCTGTTGGCTGGGATGAAGCGAAATGGATACGGGTAGGGATTTGGATCCATACCCGTTTGTGAACCAGATTCCGGGTTGTGACCCGGTATTCCAAGAGGAGTTGGGTTGGTGTGGGTAAAAGAATCCGGGTCATAACCCGGCATTCCATATGGGTAACGGGCTGGGTCAGGCCTGGTTTGTGTGTTTGGGCCGATTGGGATTGTTGGGAGTGAACTGGTTTGGGTTGGGTCTAGGCCAGTTGAAATGGGATTTGCATTTGTTTGGTTTGCTATAGTTGATTGAGTTTGAGTTGGGTTTGGATTATCTGCCATTTGCAGAAAAATAAAACACTAAAACGAGTTTTCTGTTTGATTGCAAGAACAGAAAGGAGAAGCTTGTTTGTGCGGAAGCGTGAAGATTATAGCTCTGATACCATGTAAGGAATTGATATGAAGAGGCAAAGAGTAGCAGTTCAGGATGTTGATACTGCCAAAGTATGCCGAGAGAAGAGAAAAGAAGAAAAGATTTCTGTATATTTCATTATTGTATTAATCTATACAGTGCTAATTTATACACCTTTTGTAATTGTAAAAATGGAAAACAATGAATACAATTAAATGTAATTATTCAATCAATCACATAAATTATGGATTGATTGAATGAGAGAATTGCTCCTTGATCACAACCAGCATGAATCAAGGAATTTGTGCATTCCATATTTCTGTCATAAACATCCAACACATTAAAAGTTCAAAACCCTTGCAGAGAATGCCACAGCTATGCAATATAGTCGATTTTACCATTTTTATTCTATACATTCACTAGAGTTTTTATTTGAAGGAGAAACAATCATTTAAAAGGCATATCATCATTCTCCATGCAACCACAAGATCAGAGAAGACATGAAAAGGCATACCCTAATAAGGATCTACTGCAACACATGAACACCAAAAAAAAATTCCACGTCTATCTAACTCTGGAAGTTCTTGGATCTCTGAGTTTGGATCATACCCTAATAAGGATCTTTTGCACAGCTAAAAGTGCATCAGCTTTCTGGATTTTTATTAAATTAACTTCTAGTCAAGGCAATGCAAAAAATTTGGCCATGCAATGCAAATAGATGATTCATTACCTCTTGAAAACGCTCGTAGATGAATATGAACACGGTTAAGAGACAAAAAAAAAAAATAAGCACCTACCTGAATACGGAAAAACCGCAGTGTAGATAGTAGGATGCAACCCAATGCCAAACGTACTACAAAATAACAATTATAATAGGTCAGTCAATTTTTAGAAAGGGATTCCCCAATAATTTACAAGAGCTTAAACGGATGTTCCATGATTTACCAATCATATTGATGTTAAAAACAACACTTCTACACAATACCATAAACACAAAGATAACAAGAAAAATGGTAGCAAAACATTTTGTCTGATTTACTTTTTCCAGTAACTGCAAATTATTATAAAAATGTAGAAGCGCATTATCACCACAATAATCATATTAGCATCAACAGGCTCGAAACTGAAGTGAAAAATGTGCATCTTAGTCTTTTCTAGTTCAAGCCAAAAAAAGTACTAACACGAACATTAACTATCCCAAAAAGAAAAGCAATTCTTATTGCAATACTGAGTTCATGTTTAAGAAGGCACATGGTGCAACGCCCCAACAGAATTCATTTCAATGCAACCTAAAAGAACAGGTGGGTTCCCATATATAGAAGGGCTCACCTGCAACCAGACCATAAATCTTTGGCAAGTGCAGCAAGCTCATAACTAATATAATTAGAGATGCTAAAATAGATACAAGTATAGCACCTGCAAGAAAAAAAATATGTTAAGAGGTTAATGATTCTCAACTGATTCATATAATCAAAAAATCTAATCATATCCTAGTATATTCAAGAGGATGGGTCCCATAGTAATCAAATGGTAAGCTCAAAAGAATATTTCATGTATCCCATATCTGCAATCATTAGAAAAACAAGTTATAATCCCTTGTCATAGGGCAAAAAAAAATTATAAACTCTTAATGACAAATTGAGATATAAATCATAAATTTTATTATTGTGTACTAAATGGATCCAAATGTTTTTGTCAATACGCAAAATTAAATTGTGTGTGTGTATATATATATAATATATATTATATATAAGTTTTGCATTTAAAATTTGGCTTTTTTTCAAAAACGGTATAAATGTTTTGTCAATATAAAATTAAATATTATTATATATATATATATATAATATATATATATATATTATAATATATATAATATATATATATATATATATAGAATATATATATATATATAAGTTTTGCATTTAAAATTGGCTGCAAATCTGTAATGAGATATCGTTGGGTCGTGGGCTCTGACTAATGGTTAAGGTTTGCATTTATTCTCTTTTAAAGAAAAAAATTCTTAGAAAAGACTATATATATATATATATAGAGAGAGAGACAGAGAGACAGAGATGTATTACAATTATAAAAGAGTATGTTACATACTCGAATTAATAGTATTATTTAATCTATTGATAGGAAAATTAAAAAGTTAAAGAAATTATTTAAACCCTCAAAGGTTTGGTCAAATTTAGAAAACCTTCTTAAGTTCATGCCGTTAAAGTCAAGGATAAAAATATTATTTTACCCTTTGCAGTCATGTGAATTGTCAATTTTGTTAACATCTGACCCGACGGTGTTTTTCTCATGAATAATTCTATGACTACCAATAATTTACACCAAATTTTTGTACCGATGTACGTGACATCCAATCAGACGTGGTCATATTGGAGACAACAGACGTCTTTCATGAATGAACAATTATGGATGCTCGTTTATATTTGATGAACAACCATTCATCATGAATAAATGAGCATCCACGAAAATAACAATAGAATCTCATCTATATTATTTGGAGGGGAGTCTATAGTACATTTAATATGGACGGGCATCCACGTCATATGGACACCGTCCATAAATCTTAAAAATAAAATTATGGACTGTTTCATTGAGTTTGATGGAGACTAAGGTAGAGATATTTGGAATAGAGAAAGAAGATTAAGATGTTGAAGAGAGTGAAGAAGAATCAGCCATGATTTATGTATGGAAGAGAGGGAAAAGGAAGAATCAAAACATGATTCAAGTAAATCGTGGCAAGGGGGAGAGAAAAGAGATTCACCTAACTAACTACATCAATAATATGCAATAATGGCAGAGTGCGCGAAACAGCCGTAAGGTAGGGCCAAGTTTTCAAGCTGAAGTTCCATAATGGACTGGTGTGCCTTCTGAAAGTGACGTTAAGTGGTTGGGGACTCGAGTTTGGCTACTAGAAAAGGTAAAACATAGATTTTTAATTGAAAGGGATCGTATTGGAAAGGGAAGACAAGATTCGTGTGGTTGCCAGAATGTGTTAGATTTCATATTGTTGAGAAAAGATACAGACTGAAACTTGAACTGTCTTCAACTTTTCACAAATGGAAAATCGATAAGATGGGTGAAGAAGTTATGCTTTCTTGGACCAATCAAGAACAGAAAAAATTCAAGAATATAGTGAGATTAAATCCTCCATCTCTTGATAAGTGTTTCTGGGACCATATATTCAACTTTTTTCCTAGCCAAAAGTAGGGAAAAGAAAGAGCCAAGAAGAAAAACAAGAAAAGAAAGAGAGACAAACCACTAGTTTTAGATAGACACCTGTCCATTATTTTATTTTTAAAACTTTATGGACGTGCGTCCATATGAGGGGGATGCCCGTTCATAGTAAATGGACTCTCGTCCAAATAATATGGACAGAAGTCTATTGTTATTTTTATGGACACTCGTCCATTTGTGATGAATAATCGTCCATCAAATATGGCGTCCATAATTGTTGGACGGTCATTCATTCATGAAAAATGTATGTTGTCTTAAACGTGACCGCATCTGACTAGATGTCACATATGTTGGTATAAAAATTTGATGCAAATTATCGATGTCCATAATATTATTCTTTGCTCATTATTGGTATGAGGGGTTTCACATATTTGACCAAACTTTGGGGGATTTAAATAATTATCTCTTAATTTTAACGTTTCAACGGGTCGCCAAATGTGCAACTCCCAAATTTAAATGTTAACAGAAAAAATAAGGTTAGCTAAGGTTAGCTAGGGGTGTTTTAAAAAACAACTGCAGAAACCAGGTTAGCTGCCGAATCTTGTAGAAGTGGGGCGCCAATTGTTGCAGAGCCAGGAATGGCAAAAAGCCGGAACAAATGTCACAATCACTCCCATTAATTCATTAAGAGTAAACGACTTTTACCCACCAAGGTTTGGTCTAATGATACTTTCCGATACTTTCCCACCCGTAAAGTTTCATAAGGACATTTTCGCACCCACCGTCACAATTTTTTCCATTAGTTTTAACTGCAGAAGGATAGAATAGTAAATTCAGTTTATTTTTATTTTCTCTTCTTTTAAATATTTTTATAAATAAATAAACTTTTGTTAAAAAAAAAAAAAACGGAGCAATCGGCCAACTGGTGTTGGCGGTTATCAAAACAGTCGATGGCCACCAGTCCATCTCATCATGGTTCTCAAATATGTTGGCTCGACTTAATCGAGGAAAACTTCATCGCCCTCTTTTACTTGTCCTTTTGTTTGGGAGTTCGCTCGCAAGAACGGTGGCCTGGCGCACCAAGGGGGATCTTTCGATCTCTCTGTTCGATCCAAGGTGCAAATAGCTCATTTTCTTCTCTCTCGGCAATAGGGATAATAGGCATCTTCTTTTCTTCTCGATGCTTTTCCCTTGTTTCTTGCTTTCGAGCCGTAGTTTCCTACTTTATTTCGATTTTCGTTTTGATCATTTACTAGTATTAAACTTTTTTATTGTGTTGCTGCTCAGCAAGACGACACAGACACAAAAGGTTTAAGCTCAGCCTCAGGGGTGATGAATCAATCACACAAATGTTCGCTTCACCGATATCATCAATGCCTTGAAATCTTGCAAATCTGACTCCAACGGTGAGCTAGTGAGGAAGATTCTAAGATCTCTTCCCAGATCAGGGGAAGCTAAGGTCACGACCATTCAAGAAGCCAAAGACCTCGCAAGACTACCTCTAGAAGAACTCTTGGGTTCTCTAATGACCCATGAGCTTACCATGAAGAATGGAGAAGAAGAGGATGATGCAAGAACAGGGGCTCTCAAAGCTTTTACAAAAGATGAGAGTAATGATGAGGAAGAAGAGAGCAAAGATGATGAAGAATTCGCTATGATTACAAGTTCAAGAGGTTCGTTCCTAGCCAAGAAGAAAGATTTTTGCAAAAGGCCTCAAAAGGGGCTCCACCAAGAACCCCGCAAGAAGAAAACAGAAACTTGTGAAAACCACAAAACAAAAGAAAAATAAAAAAGAAGCAAGAGGCAAGAAAAAGAAAAACTTGTGAATGCATCTAAAGTTAAATTAACAGATTTTCCATCTTTATGAACAACAAGATTATCATTTCCAAATAAATGTGTATAGCCTTCATCAAAGGGTACAAAAAGGAGGCTTTTGTGAAACCCATAAGCCAAAACAAGAAAAAGGGAGAAGACAAAGAGAGAATAACCCATTCGAGAAGTTGAGGAGACAACCATCCTGTACTATTTGAGACAAAGAGATGACCATTTGAGAAGTTGAAGACAAAGAGAGAGAGAGAAAAAAGAATGCAGTCGGCGGTAAAAGAAGGAGAGAGAGGGAAGGGAAGAAGAAAAGAAAAGAAAGAGGGAAGAGACAAGAAGAAGAGAGTAAATGACATAATTATCCTTGACTATTTTTTCGAAATTGTCATTATGTCCTTCTGTAGTTAAAATTAACGGACAAAATTGTAGCGGTGGGTGGGAAAATGTCGTTATAAAATTTGGCTGGTGGGAAAGGGTCATTAGGCGAAACCTTGGGTAGGAAAAAGTCGTTTACTCATTCATTAAAATATACAAATGACCTTGACCATCTGTATTGATGAGGTTGTTGCCCGGTGAAACTGTTAGCTTAAGTATTTTCGGCATTTAATGCAAGGATTTAATAAATTTAACTACCGAAGAGACGAGCATTAAAGAATTTCCTTGAAGAAATGAGACAAAATAATGATGGTCGTTCTCATTTACGCGTACGTTTAAATTGGGTTGCCAGATAAAACACCTTTTTTCTCTGGAAAGAAGATCGAGTTTTACTGCAGTTGCCACCTACAGATCGTTATCTATAATAGCTAGCGGTGACAGTTGTCACCATTACAAAAGGACTAATTAGAAACATGCTGTAAAAGGACAACTGTTAGATACAACAGGCTGCAGTCATTACGGCATGTTGAATGCATTCTGATAATTTATTTATCGTACTATAGATTTTATTTATTCAAAGTATAGTCCATATCTTAATTTCTGGCTTATGCATCTAAATACCAGACGATCACCATAAAAGATGGCACTACAAGTGCCGATAGCTTTTGTCCAAATCAATCCTTGATGACATTTTGCTGAAAATTGCATGCTTCAGCAATGAGCGTATCTAATGTGTGCCAAGACAAACCTTTCTCCTCCTCCATGGCTTTCTTTGCCCCCTCTGATAACTCTTTCACCTTCTTCCTCAACTCTTTAACATTCTCTCCTACCATCAACTCCCTTACCTTCTTCTCCAACTCTTCCCACTTCACAAAACCTCCCATAACTGATCCGTCGCAGCTCTCTACTCTCAACCCCACTTTTATCTCCTCCGCAACCATCTTTGCATTCAATGCCTGCTCCGCCATGATCGGCCATGCAAGAATCGGAACCCCAGCACATATGCTCTCCAACACCGAGTTCCATCCACAATGGCTTAAAAATCCTTTCACGCTTTCGTGCAACAATATTTCCCTCTGATTCACCCACTCTTTTACCACCATTCCTCTCTCTTTAACCTTCTCTTCAAACCCTTCTTCCACTTCTGTTTCATCATTTCGTATCACCCACAAGAAGTTCACCTTCGATTCTTCCAACCCCATTGCTATTTCCTTGATTTGATCGGGTGAAATCTCTGCTTGCGTCCCAAATGCAACGTATAGAACCGAGCTTCCCTGCTCAAGCTTTTCGTCAAGCCATTGAATCCATGCAGGTTTCAGACGTGTTTTCGTTTCATTTATCGCCGGTGGCTCAGCAAGGCAAACGGGTCCGACACACCATGCCTTCAGTTTTGCCTCGCGGATATAGTAATCAACGAATACAGGTTCCAGCTCGTAAAAGCTATTGACAATCATGCCATAACTATTTGATGCCGCTTTTAGATGCTTTAGTGTGAACTCAAATTCAGGACCCTTGGGTTCAGGATCCGAAAACATCGCTCCGAATTCACTTTTACAAACCTTAATCCAGGGAAAATGAGGCAGCGTGATTCTCTCACCATCTTTCTCAACTCTCTCACCATCTTTCTCAACTCCAATCAATACACGATTTTCCATTGTAACTTTCGATACACTCATTGCATAAGCTCCCATGCCATAAAACACAAACCTCGGGAAACCGAATTTCGAAGCGGACTCCAAGGTCCACCAGAGGAACCCGTCGGACACCATGAAGCTGACAGGAGGCAGACTCTGAAGCTTCAGTTCGAAGGCTGGTTGCATGAGTTTCGTGGCTTCAGCGAATTGAACGTACAGTGATATGAAGGGAAGTTTGTCAGTACTTTCGACACCGGCTGGGATTTCCGGGATTTTTTCTGGGTAATGGAGATCGATTATGGAGACGGTGGTGTCACTGAGAAACTGATCAGCAATGAAGGAGCGGTTCCCTGGAGTGGTGAAGAAGGTGACAGCGACGTTCGGACGGCGGAGGAGGAGGCGAGCAAGATGAAGAATCGGCACAGTGTGACCTTTTGACATGAACGGAAATAAAACTACATGAAGCGATGGATTAGAAGAATTCAATTCCATTTTGTTTCTAAAAGTGATGACAAACAAGAGAAGAGTCACAAGCTCATCTATATATGCAGAATAATTGCAAGAATATATAGGAAGAAAAATTCAGCATTAATTATATTACCAAAAAGTGGGTGTTTATATGGAACTAATTATCAATAAATTATATGCATTATGATTAATTTATAATAATTGCAAGATTATATAGTAAGAAAAATGCATCTAGAGAAGTGAATTTTATTATTAATTATATTACCAAAAATTGGGTATTCATATGGAATTAATAAGTTAAAATGCATTATGCTTAAGTTATTTATTCTCTACAGAGTAGTTAATTATAGAGTTAACGACTTTTTCCATCCAAATAATTGTTTAATGGCAATTTATTATCCACAGACTTTTAAAATACTACCTTATTACTTAAATTTATATTTCTATGGTGAACATAGAACAAACTTGGTCTAAATTATTGGGGCTTTTGAAGAAGAGAGGCTAATAAATCTTTTGATAATGGAAAGTTGGATTTTGATGGTTGGAATTTATCATAATTTGACTTCGGAGGGACAGTTGCACAAACGTTTGTCACTCTATTGTCAACGATTGATGAGATCGATGGGAGTATGGTTTAAAGGGTTTCGGTGAGTAATGATTAAGAAAGAGAATGATGATATGTGAGGTTACAATGATACCAGAATCGAGAACGTAATATAAATTTGGATAATAAAGTGGTATTTTAAAAGTTTTGGTGAGTAATGATTAAGAAAGAGAATGATGATATGTGAGTTCAACGATACCAGAATCGAGAACGTAATATAAATTTGAATAATAAAGTGATAGTTTAAAAGTTATATGAGAAAAAAAACTCATTAGGTCGTTTACTCTTAATCATATGCATAACATAGGGAAACTGAAAACCAAAACTCTGTGAAGAATTATGATACATTCAAATGGTTAAGTCCACGTATTTATTATCTATTTTTTAAGAAAATTAATGGCATGCTTTCGTTTCCTTAATGTTTGCGTGCTACATTTATTTTATGGTAAAATTGTAATTGTATCATATATCAAAACGTCGTTACAGTGGTAACTACAACCTCAATAATCAACAATTCTTATATAAAATTTAAAATAAAGAGCAAATCTCAATGCGAAGACCCAACATTACTTACCATTTTAAAAACTAATAATTTTAATCGAATGCTCTATTAAAAATACTTTTCACATTCTTTCAATCTTTCTTTCAGTGTACTAACTAATTTAGAGGTGAAAAAGGCGACCCAACCCGACCCGGGTTGCTGTTAATGGCGGGTCGATCCTGACCCGCTCTTAACATTGGCGGGCCGGGCTAGGCCCACCAATATTAGGGAATGGGGCTGCCCAACCCTGACCGCCAACCCTAACCAGTCGGTTAGGCTGCGGGTTGGGCCAGGTTAACTCGCTTTTTTTTTTTTTAATTTTGTTTTATTTTGTTTAAGTTTAAATATTTAATTAACTTTTCAAAGAATAATTAACAATATAAATGAATAAATGTATTGTTTTTAGTTATTGTTAATTTCTTTTCAAATATCATAATTAATTAAATTAATATTTTTTTGTTAACATTCCAAATATTAATTCAATTTTAATACATTAAAATTGTAAATAAAATATTAAATTTATTCAGTTATTAAAAATAAAATAAGAAATTACAATAATTATTGCCTCGTTAAAAACCTCACCAAGAAAAACCCAATAGGACAAAAACTTGGTAAGGAAAAAAGATGCAATAATTGACATTAATTTACAATTTACAAAACAACTAATTTTGGGGTTCACTAGGACCTCCTCATCCGTATCATCTATATTACAAAATTGAAATGATTCTATTAAAGTATCGTCAACAACCTCATATTGACCTTGATGGCGCGACCGTTCCCAATCTCGAAGACATGTGAGAACTTCAATCATTTGTGGTAAAGTTTAGTCCTCCTTTCATTTAAAATTCTTCCACTTGCACTAAATGTTTTGTCGGATGAGACGGTTGAGACAGGAACAGCGAAAACATCCAAGGCAAGTCTTGATAATACCGGAAAAAATACATTTTTTGGCTCTCCAATAGTCTAAGAGACCAATGTTGGCTCTCCATAGTCTAAGAGACCAATGTGGCTCTCTGTTGTGGATCTACTGGTAACATTTCAGGGTTGCCAAACATTGTTAAGCTCATTACTCTGCGACTGCATGAAGACAGTACATTAGTTGTTGTTGTTGGTGGAGCTTCTAAAGAGGGGTTGTGCTTCGGATTCGGGTCCTCTTCGACCTATTCAGTGCACCCCAAGAGTAAAAGTCTTCATTTTTTTCTTCTGATGCAGCTTCCCTGGATGTTTCGCCTCTTTGCGGGTTCCCATACCTGTTTTCATACTGGAAATATACTTCGAAAAATCTATTTTTACCTCTCCTATTTGATTGGCATATACTTCGTTTGTAAATTTTCACATAAATTGTCAAAACCATTTTCTAAACCTACTAATTTAATTCTAGGATCAAATATAACACCTAAACAATAAAGAAAAGGAATTTCCATTGTCTTTGTTTTATAAATAATTCGGAAATTTTATAATTGTATGTATTACCAATGACTAGTAAAATAATACACACTAGAAAGTTGTAAAGTGGATTGGTAAAAAGTTTTAAGAAAAGAATGAAATACTTTAGCTATTTGCATCATTTTCTATCAAATAATGAGGACCTCTATTATTTGCTACAAATAACTAATTATATTAGCATAAGGTAAACATGAATCAAGCATGAAATAAGTACTATTCCATCTAATAGGCATGTCTAATGCAAAGTTCTAGACATATTGATTTTATACAAGCGTCTTGAAATTCAGCATTTCTTTTATTACTACTAGTAATCCAAGCTAAACAATCTCTAATTCTATTAATATTTTCTTTATTATTTTTATACCACTTTTCACAATTAAATTAATAACATGGTATGCACAACGTTGGTGAAAAAACTACAAATTGTTATATAAAGGATAATTACTTTGAAAATAATCTGTAGATTTACTATTAGAACTTGCATTATCTAAAGTTAAACTTACACTTTCTAACAACATCATAATCTTCTAAAACTTCAACAATTTTATTATAATTTGTTCACCACTATGTATCACATCCATTAATCTAAATCCTATAAAGATTATTTAATTTACATTCATTATCAAAATAGACTAGTCACACAAATATATCTTGTTTAGCTTTACCGCTCCAAATATCGGCAGTTAGAGTCACACTAACATGACAAGTATGTATTTTATTTTTTAATTCTAATTTCATTTTTTTAAACAATTTTATTAAATCATTTCAGTTGCAGTTTTAGAATAACTTTAAATCCTGAAAAAAATGAATTTTGAACAAATCTTTCAAAATATTTATCTTCAGCCATATAATAGGTTGATCAGTTGCAGCAATATATAAAGCTAATTGTTCCCTATATACATCCGAATTATAACGCCAATTAGTACCCATATAGTTATTTGAGTTTGATTGTTTTCTCTATTTCCATGTTGATTAATTTTATTAGCATGCATTTTGAAGTACTAGTACCATTACCTGAATCAGCTTTATAATATTTCCACAGTATTTGCGTCTCACTTTCTTGACTTGAACGCCATTTTCTGTCTCGTAAAACTTCGAAATGCGCTCAAACGTCTGATGTGTGTCTGTCTTCGCTTTCGACGGCAGTTGATGATCTCGCCTCAGCTTGAAATGAAGTTGGACCGAGCACGACGATTACGAGGACGACTTCTAGAACCACCGAGAGCTGTTGGAATCGGATGCATGTTTTGAGGTGTATCGGATTCTGAGAATGGGAAAGCGGACTATTTGAATCTCCTCTTGCATTTATGTTAGTAAATCAGCATGACTAGGACTAGGATAGTAGTTCATTCATCATTGTAATTGATGGGAGAGAAATATCTATCTATGTAGTTGAAAAAAAAAATTGATGTAGAAGAAATAAAAATTAAAGAAGAGAATTGGAATATGGAAATTGGAATTTGGAAAATTGGAAATATGAGTTAAAATGCAAAAACTAATAAAAATTAAAATACGAGCAAATTGATAACAAAGAGTTAAGAGAATAAATAATAATTGAGAGATTAGGATTAGAGAATATGAGAGAATGAGAGAATTTGAGTTGTGAGAAAAATGTGAGAGTTTAGGGCCAATTATAGGGAAAAATGGAAAAAAAATGCCGAAAAAGACCCCTCAAATGGCTATATTTCAAGGGTAATGGTAATTTGAAAAATAAAATAAATTTTTTTTTTTTTTTTTTTTGGGACCCGACGGGTTGGCCGTTATTCCATAACAGTCAACCCCGCCGGGTTGAAATCAGCCAACCCGACGGGTTGGCGGGTCTCTTTCAAAAGAGATAAAACAAACCATTTTGCAACCCAACCACCCACCCGGGGTTGCTTGCTGGGTTCAACCCGCTTCGTTACGGGCCGAGTTAGGGTTGACCCGCCTAACCCGGCCCATGTTCCACCATGTTAATCACAATCTCTAATGAAAGATACTTTCTTGTTAATTTTGGGTTTCTACAAGACCAAATTTCAGAAACATATCAACATTTAAAATATCATAACTTCACATGCGGCATATATAAAACAAAGATTTAATTTGAGAATAGTAATACATATCATTGTTTTAAAAACCGGACCGGAGAGCAACCCGCTCTGATGGCCGGGTCACGGTTCAACCGGTCCAAATGGTTGAACCATCGGTTGGACTGATGACATCATCACACGTCATATTGATGTCAGCATATTTTTAAAAAAACCGTCAAACTTAATAAAAGATATGTTATTATAAGGGTTTCTTTGGTGTTAACTCAAATGCAAAGGGATTAATTGCAAGAATTTCAAAACAAATGAAGAACCAACCTTTCTCTCTCTCACACTCACACCCAACACTGCAACTCTCAGAATTTTTGTTCGCATTTGAATTTTGTAAAACACTAAAAACAAAATACAAGAAGATAACATTCGTGTTATGTGTATGTATGGCTTGGTAGAATGAATGTTAATCCAAATGAAAAGGGAAAATTAGTTAAAAAACTGCCTGATTCATTCATTTGAATGGATGTCATTGATTCACATAAATCCATTTGGATGGTGCATTAAATTAAAATGAGCAGTCAAATTATCCAATTCAGTGAACAAATTATCCATCAAAGCATGAAAGTAATAGATTCATAAAAAAAAAAAAAAGAGTGGAAATATCTTTACAAAAGAGAGTGTTGTCGTCGTCGATTCCAACGAAGGAGGGAGGCATCGTCGTCCGTCGTCGTCGTCGTGCAAGGGAAAAGGGAGGTGCATCGTCATCGAAATCCAACGAGTGAGATGCTGCCTTCGTCGAGCAAGGGAGAAGGGAGGTGCATCGCTGCCGAAATCCAACGAGGGAGGTGCTACCGTCATCGAGCAAGGGAGCAGGGAGGTGCGTCGTCACTGAAATCCAGCAAGGGAGGTCTTGCTGTCATCAAGCAAGGGAGAAGGGGAGTGCGTTATCGTGGAAATCCAGCGAAGAAGATGAGAAGGGGCTGCGACGCTGCGTGACAGAGAAGAAGAGAAGAAAGGCTGCGACGAATCAACGATACGTGACAGAGAACTGAGAAGAAGAGAAGAATGGGCTGCGTGAGAGAAGACGATGGGCGCGTATTAGGGATTAAAAGTGTGGACCGGTTTTTTCGCCGGTCCAGTTAGACCGGCAGTTCACTTATATTATCCGGTTTTCAACCGGTTTAAAACGGCTTAATACTTATAACGGGTTTGAGAGTAAACCGAACCGGAAACGTGATCGGTTCATGGTCCGGTCCGGCTTTTAAAACAGTGATACATATATTGCAGAATCGTAGAATATAATTAATTGTTTTGAGGAACATTTTTCATACAAACTCTTTGCGTCAAATTGATGGTTAATAGAAACTGTTATTTAATTTTTTTTTTTTTTTATTTTCACATTTATTCAGTTTTATATACATTAATTTGAAACTTTTACGTAGATTGACAGAAATTCAAAAGTTCTGGTTCTTTTCCAGTAACCAAAAATTAATCTCCACTCAACTTGCTCTTTAGAAGCAGAAACAGTTTGCAAGGCTTTGCGAGTTGATATGCTACCCTTGCGCTGTCACAAGGCCAAAATGGCCTCGCACGACTGTTGCAGCCTCTACTGGCAGCTAAGCGGTCTCCACGCTCCAGCAACCAGCTGGAGGTCAGAAACAACCTCCAGCACCAGCAGCAACCATGATGTCGATAATGGCCTCTTGTGACAGCCACAGCAAACTTGCGGATTTGGGATTTTGAGGGGTAGAATAGTCATTTCAGAGTTTAATAGAATTTCATTAACGTATCTTTACAAAATGCAGGCTAGGGGCTACGATACAATTTCCGAAACCAGCAGGTGTTTTCTCCTATTGCAAGAAACATTTGAATATTTACTGTAATTACACAAAACGAAAAGTAGAAAGAAAAAAAACCATTCTTTCATGATTAAAGTTTCTTCAACATGTAAATCTTGAATTCCATAAATAAGATCCTCTATCACTATTTCCAGTTTCTTCAAAAATCCATCTCTTCTGTGTTCCTGTTTATCACATAACACAACCATAATCAATATATTTAAAAAAAAAAAAAGTAAGAAAAAAATGTTTAAGGCACAAATATGATGAAAAAGATGTGTATGCAAATGTATATGAAGTAAGTGAGTTGATACGATTTTCGCCAAAAATCTTGTCTCTAGATTCCATGTTTTTGTAGTTTCTTCACATGTTATGCTATATGATTAGAATTGTGAAGCACTTAATGTCTAATTCTACCTCAGAAGAAATAACAACATGCAACTTTATATAATATTTGGAAAATGACAACTAAACACAACAAATAACTAGTATAAGTTCATCATTATTTGCTACCTTAAGATGTATAATCCTCCACAATTGATAATTAGTATTGATATTTCAACATTACTGTGCATTAAAAAGCTCTAAAAATATAAAAATTAAAACAATAAAATATCTTATTATTATGCATATCAAAATATGGTTACAGTGATGATACCTTTGCTCAACTTCTAAAGATGCACCATAGGCAGAAGCGCTAAGTAAGTACTTTAAGACATAGGCAGGAATCTTTGTTGAGTTCTCTCCATGTTGCACTTTCACCTTCAGTTTCTTTAATTCCGTAAAAGGAGAAGGTTTATGTTTGACTTTATTGGGAGCATTAGAGAGAATCTGTAAACAAGTGAGATATGAATTTTTATACAACTAGAATTTTAAAAACTTAGAGATTAATAGTAGCTAAATGAAACAAAAAAAATAATAATAAAAGATCAACTCACAGTATAACATACAAAATACACAATTATAAGTCAAGAACACGATATTCTAAAAGGTAAAAAGAAAATTTATAACGAGGGAACTATTGCTCTTAAGGACACAATTGTAATTAGGTAACAATATTAAAGATCAAAATTAGATTTTCAATTTTGGAGAGACATGTGCTCCCCTAGGACTATATGTAGGTCCACTACCAACTCTGAACCTTTTAAGTATAGTCTCATGTTTAAGGATGTTAAAAACCATTCCATGTAGAAGTAATCTTACGAAGGCATCAAAACTTCTTAAATAAATACAACCAACTAGACAATCGCAATCAAAAAAACACCCTACTTCAATATAAAAAAAATTCATAATATCCATTTATAATTGCATAAAAATTAATTAATACCTCAATTGTGTAGTAAGATAATGTGAGAGTTTGTGCATGACAGAGAATTCGAAACATATTCGTCAAATCATATGCAGCAGCTTTCCTAATTTTGTTTGAATGGTAGAGACTAGGCGGTGAAGAAAATTGGACATTTGCATTTCTCAGAGCAGGAAGGTCAACCAAGGTAAAACTCAGAGGTAATGAATGCATAAGAGTAAAGGAAGTGAGCATAGGCGTACAGACCTCAATCCTACAATGACCCACCAAATAAAGATTGAATATACCCAAGTCAACAAGCTGAGGTCCAGATATCCTGAAAACACTAAACTCACTACTCCCTCCCAAGAAACATTTACCCAGGTACAAGCTCTTCAAATTAGGGCAACTAGAGAAGGGATCAAAGTGATTTTGACTAATATAAGGAAATAAACCTCCACTTAAATGCAATTTCTTTAACCCCATAAAAAAACAGAATCCTCCTGGTAACATTTCAGACCCAAAACCATTCATCTCTAAGCTCTTTATCGACGGACATTTAATAATCAGTTCCACTGGTAGACAGAAGTCCACCCAATGGCCTTGAAAGATGAGTTCTTCAATGTTATACAAGACAAGGTAGTTGGTGACTTCGTTCATGAAGGATTCATCTTTCCTACTATAGTTATAAGCAGGGGAGAATGTATCAATATTGATGGATTGATCACGATGAGAGAGAACGTGAAGGACAAACTTCCTGAAGTAATAGCCTCCACCAATATTCATTCTGTTACTGAAATTCATATTGTCAAAAGTGAGGTGAGAGAGAGTCTTCCACAGGTTTTTAAATCTCTTGGAAAGCACACAAGTTTGAACAGCGAATTTGGTGTCAACAAAAGAGAGGATGTGACGAAGGATGTCATCTGAAAAATTGCTCAACATTGGTTGTTGATCATCTTTGCACATCTTGTTCCTCTTCGACATTCTGGTGTTGTAAAGTTGATAATCTTCGAATTCTTTGACCTTCTTGCCCCTCTTCGGCATGTTGGTTTTGTACTGTGAGAGCAAATACAGATAACTTAGCAAGCTTATAAGAAGAAAAAGTGGGATCTTTTTCATAAGAAACGAAAATTTCATCCAATTTAAATTTTGTTTTCTTTTCTTAAAAAAAATTCCTTGTTATGCAAATACAAGTTAGATATTAATTTAATCCAATTTATAATCTTAAAAAAAAACCTTGAATATACAAATACAAATTTCATATTACTTCTTTTTGCACATGTCGTTGATGTATCTAACGGCCTAAGATTATATTTGTTGTTAAGGAAGCAGGTAGTTCTATTTTTGTTCTTCTCTGGTCTTGGGAAAGAGTAGCTTATCCACTGGTGGGGCCTTCGGGGATTGGGCAATTTTCCGTCAATAGTAGTTTCTTGAATTGCATTATAGTGATTTCTTATTCGATTTAGTAACAGGGCAAGAATTAACTATCCTATCAGAGGATTTTTATGCTCCATTAATGTGATGGGTCCCCAACTAAGAAAGTGCAATGGTTTACTCTTATACTTCTACATCTGCACACTGACGCTACCGGATGAACTACCCAAATTAAACACGAAATACAAAAAATTATCCAAAAGAAAACTCAATTTTAACGCGCAGAACGAATGTAAGAAATTTAGAATACAAAACGTGGGGCGAGTGGAGACAATGGTAGGGAGAATGTGCGAAATTATTGCTATAATAAGCCAAACAAATACAAGAACTTAGCCCAGCCAAGCAAACAAAATCAATACCCAAGTGAACAATCAACTCTACATAACCAAGCAACTTCTCCAGCGACCAAACAAAGTGACCAAAAAAAAAAAAAAAACCTTAAAACTCAACAAGTAGAAAAATCAAACTTACAGAGTTCCGATTAGCAAGCTCAGACAGAACAAACGTCACCAATAAAGTAGCAACCTTACACCTCTTTTCCGTTCGACCGTCCGGGGAAATTCGGCGATCGGGCAAGCAACGTCGTTACCGTGAAGAGAGCTTTCAGCGTTCTGATGATTCAACTCGTTACCGAATCGCTATTTAGGGTTTCAATTTTTGTTGTTTTCCCTGATTTGGCGTCATTAATTAAAAAACTCCAAAACATATGTGTTGATTCAAGATTACATACTCACTCAACAATTTTACGCTTATAACCCTGTAATTTTTAAAATTTTAATATATTGTAATTAAGGATATACTGACAAAATATAAAAATAATTCAAATAGTCAGCAGTCTGCAAGGCTTGGAAATTCAATAAATTTTCTTTTTTTTTTTTTTAATTAAAATGTGGAAAACAATAAGAACTCTCAAAGACTCAAACATCCTTGCATTAAAGAGATGAAGCCAAAAGTTTAATGTATATTAACTAAGAGTTGTATATGCAGGCTTTCGATGATCTTCATCAATAAATAAATAATAAAATAAATCACTATTTGGTAACGTGATGATAAAGAAGTTTCATAAACTCTTAAATTAAGTCATCTTAGATAATATAGGGTTAGAGTGTTCAACGAGACGAGCTACTCACGAATCGACTCGTCTCAAGTACGGCTCGTAATGCTTGCATTGTGTGGAATCGACTCGGCTCGTTAGGCTTGTGAGCCGAGTTAGGTTCGAAATTAGAGGCGTTTTAGGGGTTTTATAAAGTATGAGGGATTACACTGAAATTTTCAAAACAAAAAGTTTGAAAAAATGACAAATAAACTCATGTTAAATAATTAGAAACAAAAGAAGAGAACATGAGCCATGAGGAGAGAGAGGAGAGAAGAGAGAGAGAGAGAAGCAAATGAGTACTAAGACCATCTCCAACCCATTGCACCAATTTGGTGCAAAAATACCAAATTGGTGCAATGGTGGAGATGGTCTTAGTACTCATTTGCTTCTCTCTCTCTTTGGTGCAAAATTTGGTGTAAACACTATTCCATCTCCAACCCACAACACCAAATATGCACCAAAAAGAATTCCTTAGAATATCTTTAGAATATTTTTTTCTTTTATGTAATAATCAACAATAATCTATTTCACTCATTATTTTGTATATATAATTAAATATTGGGAATGATATTTTATTAAATAATAATATTTTGAAAATTATACTAATTAATAGAATTAAGCATTATTAATCAAATAACATTACATTTAATATAGAAAAAACATTACATCTAATATAAAATGATACAAAAAAAAAAAAAAAAAAAAAAAAAAACCAACAACAACACAAAGGTAAAATTCCCTATTGATAGTAATTAATTTTCAAAAGTATGTTCTTCCCACAATGATCAATTAATGGATTTCAAAGAGATTTGTGGCTTATTCAAAAGATGTGTTGTCATTCAAGCTTTGAGATTTATGGCTATTCAAAAATATGTGTTGTCCATTCAAGCTTTTGAGCTTTGTGGCTTATTCAAAAAGATGTGTTGTCCATTCAAGCTTTTGAGATTTGTGGCTTATTCAAAAGGTGTTGTCCATTCAAGCTTTGAGGATTTATGGCTTATTCAAAAGATGTGTTGCATTCAAGCTTTAGATTGTGGCTTTTCACAAAAGATGTGTTGTCTATTCAAACTTTTGAGATTTGTAGCTATTCAAAAAGATATGTTGTCATTCAAGCTTTTGAGATTGTGGCTTATTCAAAAAGATGTGTTATCCATTCAAACTTTTGAGATTTATGGCTTATTCAAAAAGATGTGTGTATCCATTCAAACTTTTGAGATTTGTGGCTTATTCAAAAAGATGTATTGCATTCAAGCTTTTGAGATTAGTGCTTATTCAAAAAGATGTGTTGTCCATTCAAACTTTTGAGATTTGTGGCTTATTCAAAAAGATGTGTTGTCATTCAAACTTATGATAAAAGGCATACAAAACATTAGTTTGAACACATCTCTTTTACTTCTCTTAGAAAAAAAAAAAGCTATATCTTCTTCATTTGTGTTACAAAATGACTACACAACGAAGTTCTTCATACACAAATGAAGAAGACATGCATCTATGTCTATATTATCTTGATATTTCTCAGACTCGATTTTAGGTTATAATCAATCTAGTGATCAATTCTGGTCTCGAGTGAGCTGACTACAATAGTTCCAAATCGTGTTTCTCACCCAGGTTCGAAACAAAAGATCTTTGCAATGTCGAATGCGATGATCTTTAAAGCTATTGGCAAATTGAGGGGATGCGTACGTCAAATTGAAAATAGAATCCAGGTGGTGCTTCTGAGCAAGATATTGTGAGTATTTGTTACATTTCATTCAAGCTTTTTTTTTTTTTTTTATCTAATTGATTTTAACGTTATATGTATATTGTTTGTAATTGATTCAAGCCAAAATGTTACTAGCACAAGATAAAAGTTACGGAAGGTTTCAAATTTGATCATGTGTGCCTATACTATAGGATATTGAAAAATTACAGATAATGTTAACGCCGCAGAAGTATTTCAAAGGCAAACGGTAGGTTTGAATCACAAGAATCAGAGACTCCCACTTCAAAGTCTCCCCAATCGAGATGTGCATCGTCAAATTCTCTAAACATAAGTGATGAAAATATTGGGGGTAGTTCAGCTCAACGACCCATTGGGGTGAAGAAAGCAAAATTTAAAAGGAAAAATGATAAAGAAGTTTAAACAGTTTGCAACTATTCAAGAAGAAAATCGATAGCTCACTGCTATTTCAATCGGGGCAACTCAGCTAGGACACAAAATTATGAAATCCAAATGAAAAAAATGGCTTTGGCAGAATATCGAGAAGATAACAAAATTTTATTCAAGGATTTGAATCTATAACCGATCCAAGCTACGTAGTTTTTTCAAAATGAGCAATTAAGATTATGCAAAAAGAGTCAACAACAAGGTCAAGGATCTCAAAATAACTCAAGTTCTTTTCAATATTTTGATGATCTTACTGGACGGAACTAATCTACCGGATACTAAATTGTTATTTTAGTTTATGTTGTATTTTCTTTTAATTTTAGTGTTTTTAATTAGTGTTAATTTTATTTTGAGTTATTGTAGTTTAATATTGCATTGAATAAAGTTCTATTTTAATTTTTTCATCATTTTTTAAATTATATCATTATTATAAATTTATTATATAAATAATAATCAAATTAAATTAAATACAAATACTCAAATTAGTGTGATTTTTGATGTAAAATTTAATACTCAAATTAATTTAACAAATTAAAAAGAAAAACAAAAAAATCAAAATTAAAAAAAATTTTAATTGCTAAAGTGCTGTGCACCATTTTGGTGCAGTGTTTAGGCTGGGTGGAGTACCGACCCACGTCATTTGGTATTTTTTGTACCATTTTGGCGTGGGTTAAGTAACAAAAAGAGAAGAGGAAGGTTAAAAAGAAAGAAAGGGTTAGAGGAAAGTTAAAAGAAAAGAAGTTTGAATTTTCTTTTTAATTTGGAATATGGGTTTTGTTACAGAGAGACCATGAAGCATAAGAAAATAAAAAAAGGTGGTGAGAACATCTTCAGAGTTGGTGGGGAAAGTAAGGGGAAAAGGAGAAAGAAAGAAAGAAAGAGAGAGAAACGAGAGCCACGGGAGAGAGAGAAAAGAAGAGAGCAAATGAGTAATGAATGAGAGAGAGAAACGAAGAGAAGGCCGTAATAAATTAGAGAAAAAGAAAGGAAATGAGTAATAAATGAGAGACAGGAAAGACGTAATAAATCAGAGCGGGAAGAATCTACTCTGGATTTTCAAAAAAAAAAGGCAACGAGAGAGAGAAACGAAGAGAAAGCCGTAATAAATTAGAGAAAAAGAAAGGAAATGAGTAATAAATGAGAGAGACAGGACAGATGTAATAAATCGGAGCGAGAAGAATCTACTCTGGATTTTCAAAAAAAAATGCATTTTTTAATTTCATTGGCTCGCGAGCCGGCTTTAACTCGACTTGTTAAGTTGGCTCACAAGCCAGACTCAAAATCCTTTCCTCTTTTCATGAGTTGATCTGAGTTAAAAATTCAACAGTTCGGCTTAGCTAGGCTCAAACTCTAATTCTCTTTCTCTTTCCACAAACTGAGCTCGTTAAGTCAAAAACTCGATTTAACTCGACTCAAAAACAATCTTAAATATGGTAATCATTGAGGTTCTTATTTGATGGATAATTTCAAAACCTCCAAAGATTAATAAAGGTACGCAAACTGGCTTAGATACTCAATGATTAAAAAAAAAATAATAAATAAATAAATTAACAAGAATTATCAATTATAAGAATTAAATCCTCTTAAAATGAATTTAAATTACACTTGTAACATAACGCATTAATTTTGTCTATCTCAATAACTTATTGGGCCCATAATTTATCAACTCCAGAAGTGGATCCCTAACCCTAAGTTTAAATGTCGGCTTGATAAAAATGTAGTGAGACGCATAAACAAAAATGCCATGTCGTGGATTCAACTGTATATGTGGCATTTGTTGTATAGATACAGATATAAGTCATAAAAGTGATTGTGAGATAAATCCAAACAATAAAATAGATTATATTAAGTGTAAAAACAAATAAAGATAATATATATATATTTCTTTTCTTCCATAAAACGCCAAAGGTGATAATAGTCCAAACCTCAAAGTTATTAAACATTGACAAGTTACATCTCAAACTTTGATACTATAAACAAAGAGAAACTTCGTCCTTCACTACAACAATTCAGGGTCCCTCTTCCAACTACAGTCTACAGAAATAGACAATATAACATACATTACCTCCAAAAGGCCACTCAATACTCAAGATTTAAGATTACGAAATCTTCTGATATTTTTTTCCTGCAAATTAATTACTTACGTGTCCCATTTATGATCGTCTCTAACGTACGCCAAGACGACCCTTTCTCCTCCTCCATAGCTTTCTTCGCCATCTCTGAATACTCGTTCACCCTTTTCCTGCTCTCCTTTCCCATCTCTCCTTCCATAAGTTCTTTCACCATCTTCTCCAAACCCTCCCACTTCACAAATCCTCTCACTGACCCGTTACTTGTCTCTACTCTTACCCCTATCTTTAACTCCTCCACGACCAGTCTTGCATTCAATGGCTGTTCGGCCATTATGGGCCATGCCAGAATCGGAACTGCTGCACAGATACTCTCCATCACCGAATTCCATCCGCAATGGCTCAGAAATCCTTTTACGCTTTGGTGCGTTAATATCTCCCTTTGGTCCACCCATTCTCTGACAACAATTCCTCTTTCTTTTACTCTTTCTTCAAACCCATCTTCCAGTTCTGACGCTTCTTTTCTTATCACCCACAGGAAGCTCACCTTCGACTCTTCCAACCCTTTTGCCATTTCTTTGAGTTGCTCAGGTGATATATCCGCCTGAGACCCAAATGCTACGTATAGAACTGAGCTTCTGTGTTCAAGCTTTTGGTCCAGCCACTGAATCCATGCGGGTTTCTGGTGTATATCTTGTTCATTCCTCGGTACCTCGCCGAGGCAAAGGGGGCCAACGCAGGAGACCTTGAGTTTATCCGCACGGTTCCAATAATCAACAAACGCAGGCTCAAGCTCATAAAAGCTGTTAACAATCATACCATGACTGTTTGATACCGATATGACTTGGTCCATTATTAACTCAAACTCAGGACCTTTGGGTTCACGCTCACTGAAAGGCGGACTAAAGTCATTTTTAGTAATCTTAATCCATGGGAATCCCGTCACTGTAATCAACTCATCATCAGATTCTGGCCCAGCCAGAAGCCGATTTTCACCGACACATCTCGACACACTCTGAGCATAATTTCCCATACCATAAAACGCAAACCTCGGAAAACCCAATTTTGCAGCCGACTCTAAAGTCCACCAGAGGAAGCCATCTGACACCATAAAACTAACACGTGGCAAAACCTCAAGCGCCCGTTCGAAGTCCGGCTGCATGAGCTTGGTGGCTCTGGTAAAAGGCACATAGAGCGACATGGAGGGGAGTTTATCGGTACTCTCTATACCAGCACCGATTTCAGGAACGTTTTGGGGAAATGATATGTCGACGATGGAGGCAGTGGTATTGGCAAGAGATTTGGCGATGAAGGAACGGTTGGCTGGGGTGGTGACGACGGTGACGGTGACATGTGGCCGACGGAGGAGGAGTTTAGCTAAGTGGAGGATTGGAATAGTGTGTCCTTTTGACATGAAAGGAAACAGAATCACATGCTGTGAATATTCAGAAGATGCTGAACCCATCTTGTCCTTCTGAAGTTAATTAATTTCCAGCTCTCACTCATGTATAATCTATTTTCTTGGCAGAGGCATCAACTTATAAGGACATGACCATGATAGAGGGAGGGTATTGCCGTCTTTAAAGAGGATTTTGTCTGTACGTATACAAGAGCGCAGCTGTTTATATTAATGTCTGTGTATAACAAAGCTATAGTTGTCCACATGAAACATGTTATCCCTTGTATAAATTATAGTTTGGTTTGAGTATAAAATAAGGATAAACATAGGTTTATAACCCAAAACTTTTAGACAGCTAGTAGTTGAATTCTTACATGGCAACGTACAAAGGCTGCCAAAAGTGTGAATGAAGGACACAATAATTGATCAAGCATGAGGCATGAAAAGACATATACCGTGGTCCTAGTCTTGTAAAAATGAATGGTTCTCTTAATTTCCCATTTTCATCTCTAAGTAATGGAAGCACTTTACTAGCGGAAAATCCCAACGAGTGTTCGTAGAAAACAAAATGTTGACAATAATAATAGAAGATCAAGTTGTGCACGATAACCTCCATATAAATTGTGCCTACTAATACCGGCCTCTCATTTCACATGCAAAAGCATGACTTAAGTAATGTGATTGAACTTTTGCCTGCCTATTAGGCGAGATCCATTCTTTATCTTCTGTTTGTAAAATTTTCGGTTCTTCAATTCTTTTCTTGGTGAGTCTGTCTAACTTTTTGTCCATCCTCTTTAACCTAATACCTTATACAATAATATTCTTATCATTGTACCAGTATTTTCAAAAGTTAGTTCAAACCACTGTATGATAATTAATTCATTAGCTACATATGCCTGCCTGTTTGGTTATTGTAAAGGCCCTCCACATGCATTATTCAATCTACATATTTCTATTATTTTATAACAGATACGTCTCAAAGAAATTTTAGATATTTGGTAAAAATTTTCAATAAGTTCATGTATAAGTTTTGTAGTTTGTAATATAGTTTTAAGAGCTCGAAGACAAAAGCCTTTATTAATAAACCATTGTCGGCATATAGGAACAGGACAATTGATGTCAATTTGTATACCATTCTAGAAGTAGGTTAAGCTTATAATTTTCATAATAAATCTACCGTAATATTATACTTACAATTTAATCTCATAAATTTTCTCTTATAAACCTGAGGTGACATCTCACAAATGGGTCTTGCCTGCCTATTTACAAACTAACTAATTGTGAGATGTTACGTCAGAGTTGAAAAAGAAAGTTTGTAAAATTGGGTTGTAAGTCAATCTTTATCCTAAATCTATTCTACTTGTTTTGCTTTTTTGAATTGTATTAGAGGGTACATCTCATAAGAATTAACCGAATTATAAGCACCTAGATTATATTTATGAATCCATGACCTTTTACTACACCCAACTGTTACCAAGGCGTTTGCTTTCATTCAATATGTAATATGTAATGACATGATCTAACTTTGGTTGGTTAATCAAATCTGTTCATCTCTGGTCGACAAGTACAATGGTCTTAATGATAATTTTGTGTGTATCTCACAGATGATTCTAAAAAACCTCATGAATTTTAATTAAGTTGTACAAAATCATATTTTAAAAAGGGTAAGTAATACTATATACCAAAGATTCTATTCCAACTTGTACATCTCTTAACAACTGATTTTATGGCCTTTAATCATTCTATTTTTATTTTTTTTATTTATAAGAATAAGTGATTAATTGTAATATGGTATACCTAATAACTCCGAATTCCCTACCGTTAGTCGTTAGCGAGATTACACATATTTGCTTAGGCACTTTCGATAAAAGTAGGGAGTTTAGAAATATTAGATATACCTCCATGGGTTTATTATACATTAGGAATAACTCATGGGATTTACTTTATATTATTAACCATTTAAACCTAAAAATGATATCATGTATTTCAAGTTTTTATTCCAATTTTTGCATACACTATATAAAAGTACCTTTTAAGTATACGTATATGAGCATTAATATATAAATACAAGAACGTATATAAAACAACTTTCTACTATATTACAATTACAACATTTTTGTGAGAAATGGGTGTTTTGCTTGTTCTCTCCAGATGGGATACTCATTTTTTCTGCGGGCTTCCTTGATGACTCTGCCCCTTATCATCTGCGTTCTAGGCTATGACTGGAAGTTGGGGATCTGCATTGCTTTTTGGAGCCTGCTGGACGTCTGTATTTGCTGTGTAGTTTCTCTTGTTATTTGTGCAGTTTCACTTTGCTATTGGATATAGGCCTTCTTTTGTTGCTGGTTTGGGGGTTCTTTTTGTATAGGCTTGGTCATAATGGTGGTGGGTTTTTGTTGGATTGTACATCCGTGCTCTCTCTTGTTCATTAAGCAAATGGGCTTCCTCACTATGCCCATCTTTTTTGTACTCAGATGACCAAATACTTAGGCCACCCTGTTTTGGAATCATGACGACCCAATCAAGGAACAAGAAGTCCAGAATGTAGAAACCACCAAAAACACAGTATTGTGTCATATATTATTATTAAAAATCTTCATTCCTACAGTTTGGAATGAAACACTGGCTGATTGCTTGCTTAAAGTCTCTGAGGCCAAAGCAAAGCCACTCCTGCGTTGACTATGTTAATCAAGTAATTTAGAGCTTTGTGATTATCGCACTTCATTAAATAAATGAATTTGAATTACCTAATTAATTAAGATAAAAAGAAAACCAACCATAATCAAATTAATCATATCCAACACTTGAAAAATTAATCATATTCTAATTAAAACGTTTATAACTTCAAGTAATCTCTTTTAAGTTTAAACAATAGCAACATTTGAACCCAATTGATGATCACCATGAGTCGTCCCTACAAGATTCTCTCTTGATTCATCAACGCCTCCATGATTACGATCTTCATTTTCATCGCTACTTTCTGTTGGTCTCTGGTTATTCTCTTCCATTTCAATTCTGATTTCACTCCCTTGTGAACTTTCCGTTGGCGGGCGCTCTCTAATTAACTCAATACTAATATCACTGAAACGGCTGCTTTCTTCGCCAAACCTTCGAGAATCAGCCATGCTTCGACAAATCGGACAATTAGGGTTCTTGAGAAGCCATGCATCCACACACTGAGCATGAAAGCTATGGTTACATAGCGGCAGCAGCCTGCACTTATCGCCTTTCTTGAAATTATCCAAACAAACCGCACAATCAACGGGACTACTCCCTTTACTCTTCGCTATGTAATCAAAACAAGGAAGCTTCTCGATGTCGTCTCGAGACATGCTCATGCTTCCATTGCTGCCTCTGTCAACATTTCCGCCATTTCCGAATCCTCTCCTGAACGTTCTTCCCACAACACAAATATGAATAAAAATCAAAATCCCGATTCCCAGAAACAACAACACTACTGATATGACGAGAGCCATTACCATAACCTTAGTTGCAAGATGTAAAGCTTCGTCGTTCATCACAATGAAATTCTCTTTCTGTCAATCAAATTGATCAAGATTTATCTCTTTCTCCATGTACTTCACCTAACCTACAACTTTTTCTACCTTTACCACGAACAATCAAGAGCTAGAAACACAGTCATCAAGCAAATTCAACGCATTTTGTGATGTAAAAATTCAGAAAGCAGCAAGAAAAAACGTGAAAAACATCAAGAAACTGTTGAGGCTGGAGAAGATAAAGACAAGCATTAAACAATAAAAAAACAAAAGTGGAAGCTTCTTCTCTCTCTTATAGATGCACTGAAATTCGAAGCCAATTGATAAATAAAGTGGATGACCTATATGCTCTGCTGTGGTTGGAATATTAATAATAATTTTGAGGATTAGTTGATCTCTATTATGGAGTGGGTGTGGGTAGTGATGGAAGAAGAAGCATGTTTTTAATTAGGTGGATATAATGAATCATAATTAGAAGATAGAAAATTTATTTAGACCTTTCCGTTTTATCTTCTTTCTCTGTGTGTTGTTTTTTGTGTTTATAATACTTTTGATTTTGACAATTTCAACAACTTTCTTCTTATGATAGATAGATTGAGATGTGGCTCTGTGAATAAGACAATTCTCCATTCTATTCAACCTTTGTTCGTGCTTAAACAAGCTTCATTTATTAAGACCATGCCTGCTCAATGAATCACAAAGTATTAATGGTAACCTAATTCTCAATACAAATTCTTTTTTTTTTGTCATCCTTAACAATGTCATAGACTCATAGTAAAGTGTAAACCACTACTAGATGGTCTCATGGTAAAAGTGTAAAGGAATATCTAATATAATCTTTCATATTCGAATCCTTTTGATGATAAAAGAACAAACGAATGATTTAATATGATCTCCTGAGTTAATAAGGATGGACATTGAAGTTTTTACTCAACTGATAATTCCAGAATCTCGAAAGATTAGTTAAGGTACACACTAAATAACCCAAACAACCCCGATTATAAAAAATTAAAATAAAATTAATGTCAAAGTACATAAACTTTCTCTGGCGTTGTATTTTATGTTTTTACTAATATTTTAATTAATGGAACACTATGGCATCTCAATAATTACAAAATAATTAAATTAATCCACTTAATTATGGTGGTTAATTCTACTTCTAAACAACCCATCCGAACATTCTTCTCCATAGATTGAGTAATATTCAAGTTATTTGGTATTAATTAATAATTAAAGCAAAAAGGAAGGTTGAATTTCTCCCTCAAAAAATTAATTCGATTAAGTTGGTCGGTCACCCTCACCCACTAATGTAGTCTGTTTGATGACAGCTCAAGGCACGATTTTGAGTATTTATCAAAATTATTAGGAAAAATAATTATTTAGTAGGTTGATAATTATTTTATAATTTTAAAATGAAGTTGAAGATATTTTTAAATTAATGGGTTTAGCTTAACTTAATACATTTATTATTAATTTTTCTTTTAAATTAAGTTTTTATTTAACAAATTTGTTTATTCTTAATTTCCTGAGAAACCACTACAATTGATTCAAAAATCTGTGCTGAATTTCATGTGGAATTTGATTTTTAGAATTATGACATCAATTTGTCTTCTTGCATTGAAAATTTACAATAAATTAAGGATCTTCTTTGCAAATTGTAAGTCTAAATGGAGTCTTTTATTATTTGATTAATGTTATGATTGTAGTTAATCAAATATTTTGAACATGATTTCTTTTATTAAATTGATGTTTTTGTTCATTTTACTTAAATTTAATATTTAAGATTTTACGGATTGAAATTGCCTCCTTTTCTTTGATTCTTCTTTTTTCTCCAAAAAAAAATGCTAATTGTTTTGACGACTAATGTTCACTGATACCATGATCCATACCTACAATTACATACTTTTTTTCCTCACATAACATGACATACTCATAAAATTTAAACTCGTAAGGTAATTAATTAGATTCGTGGGCGTTCTTATGAGATCCGAGTCCTTGTTTACACCGGTATTTTTAATAGTATCAAGACTATCCATTTATTTACTTAGTCCACACCTTTATTTGAATTTCCTTTTAGATAACATAAAACCTTTTAGTTGATGGGTGGATGATCAATGAAGTACGAACATGGGCTGAAAATGATGAAATTGTTGGGCCTTAAATAAAATTCAATAAATAAAGCTATTTACATAATCAGAATTAGTCTTATCTTATCAATTTAACCTTCGTACAAATCTATGAAGTTTCAAATAAAATTAAATATGATCATAAACAAAAGTCTAACACAACCAAAATAAGAATTGTTAATCTAGGAAACATAAATAATGACACTCCAATTTTTCTGTCTATTTCTTTTGAGTTTTCTGTATGCTTAGAACCCATAGAAATCAACCCCCGTTTGTTTAACTTTTCAAACTCTATTATATTCTACTATCATATCCTAAAAAGTGAAAAAACGTGTTTGTTTTAATATTGATTATTCAATTCAAAATCCAATCCAATTCTATTCAACTCAAAACATTTAACAATTACCTTTCTTAATAAAAGTTTATAAATTAACAAAAACACCCCGTCCACCCAAGTAACAGTTGCTCTCCAGCAACCACAGTTAGTCACCAACACCGGAATGACGCACGATCGATCGGATTTGATCGATCGTGCGCCGATCTAAAAGATTCCAGCTAGATCCACCATGGATTTGGCTAAAAATTATCAAGTCTGGCCACATCTAGCCGTTAACGGCTAGATAATGGGTGTTAACGATGGCTAGATTATGGCCGTAGATTTTGTCGTTTCCGGCCAAATACACAGTGGATCTAGTAGGAAAATGTCAGATTAGGGCACAACCGGCTAGATCCAGCTAGCCGTACACCATTCCAGCAACTTCCGACGATGTTGGCCTGCTGTCGACAATTGGTTGGGTGGGTGGGGGTGTTTTTGTTAGTTTATATAACTTTTATTGTGGGGGGTGTTTAGTTAAATTAACAAATGTAGGGATTAAAAATTAGTCTAAATATTTTCAGAAAATGTTTTCTAAAAATATACCAAACATATTTTCAAAATCATATCCTATAATATTTGGAATAGAATATTATTTCAAATAATGTACCAAACAAACCTGTCTATTAAAAGTAAGGAATTGACACATACATGAAATAAAGCTGAATTAGATAATCGATTAATTAACTAATATTGCGGTGTTTTCTCAATCCATTAGCATTTTTTTTGTTTTGATTATGCATCAAAAAATATTTAGATCTCATTGAAAATCAGATATATATAAATGGAAGGAGATAAGGGTGCTTTTGGAATGATATTTTGTGGTATAAAAAGAGTTTTAGTGGGACCCAAATAACACCACTCTTCTTTTTTGAAAAAATATTTTCATTATTTTTAATATATCATAAGACACGTCATATGGGAGCTTTAGATTTTGGATATAAATTTATATTTAAAGAATTTTTGAAAAAATAAAAATTGTAAAGAAGAAACTTAGTGTTAATATGTGACTGAAAATTTAAAGGTTTTAGATCCTATGTTAATTTAGTTTTACCTAATCTTTGAAGGGTTATGATTAATTATTTTAATTATTTTTTTAACCCAAAAATATAATTTTTTTACTTTTTTTATACACACATCTTTTGATAATCAAACCGACCATAAATGGGATTTTGTTATCAACGGAAACAATCTATTGATTATAATAAAAGTGCAAATTGCCGATTTCTATAAACAAAATTAAAATAGGTAGCTTGAGTGAAAGTTAAAAACATCAATAGTATAACAATTCTCTATTACTCTACCAAATGTGGGAGGCCAGAAATGAATCGTGTGCAAAGAATATCATAGGATTCCAACTCAACTAATTGCTCAACAGCAATTACAGAAAGCACAATGTTTCACTGTATTTACAAGAAAAATATTAAAAAAAAAAAAAAAAAAAAAACCAAAACCAAAGCGGCAGAAAGTAATTTTAGACGAAGCTCTCTAACGCTCATATATATCACGGTAAATGAAGATATTACTCACTAAAGCTCATACATGCCCTATATAACTTGTATCAGGAACCTATAACAATTCCCTCCCGGGCGATATTAGTCACACGAAGTACAGCTTGTGCGCTTAAGGGAGAGAGTTTGGATTGGCAGAAGTGCTCCCAAGAACCCATCTCTGGATTCTCAGATACTGTTGTAGGAGGCTGGTCATGAGATTTCTCGTATACAGTTTGCAGCTCCAAAAGAAGGGCTCTAGCAGCTTCCCTGGACTCAGGAAGCTGATCACTGAGTTGGGATGCAGCTACTTGGATCAGTTTGTCAATACCATATTCTTTAATACCTTCAATACCCTGTCAACATGAGCATAACATAATCACCATATTAGGAAGGAAAAACAACATGACAGTTGGGAACTAGTAAAAAAAGAAGGAAAGATGGCATAGGGATCACATAACACAGGCATAATATAGGATTAATAGCCACTTAAGAATCTGACATGAAACTCATTCTCTACTGGTCTACGGACTACAAAAGGCTATCGAAGCAATCCCAATATCACAAAGAAGAAAGTTGAAACAATAAACCAACCAATCAATAAATGTGATAGTGCGTATAGGACAGGGTGTGTGGAAGAGAGAGTGAGTAGACACCAAAGCAAGGCAGAACACTCTAATATCAAAATGCTGGCATAAGCAATAAGGTTATTACATCAAATGCAGAAAGAAGACAGAAACAGCAGCTGATACAAACTATATTCTAGCATCCACATATCAACTCAGTCCATTTAGCGGTTTTAGTTGAATAGGAACAGCTCAGTATAGCCGAATTCATTATTAAGCATTTAATATCTGCATCAACAACATTTCAGCATTGACTATATAAATTGTTCAACCATGGAAAAATATGGTTTATCATTTTCCCTAAGCTCTATTTTCCACAGAGATAAAGAAAGCTTTTCTCACATATGATTTACCAAGCTTTCCCTTAACTATTATCATCTCTCCAAGAACTAAACTAAATGCTATATAACAAAGTAAAGGATAAACAATTGAGTGCTCATCAATCTAGCAGGAAAAGCAAATGACTTTAAAAAACTAAAATAGTTTGAATACGGAAATTGCTGGAATGTATATAATATGGCTTCCTTACCAGGCGTGGAACACTTCGAGAAAAGCACATTGATGCCTTTGCTCGAATTCGAGGATTCCTATTTTTGAAATATGGTTGAAGTTTTGGTAACAACAATATAGGGGAAATCCAAGTAGTCATTGCTACCAAAGCCTTTTCAGCAGCCTCGCATACAAATCGTTTGTCTTGTGAAGATTTAAGAAGAAGCTGAACAAGCTGTACCATCAAATTGTGAAAATGAGTACATTAACAAAGAAACTAAATAGCAAGATGCAGCTATGAAGTTAAAGAAATCTGAATTACCAGAGGGTCCAATGAATCAATCATATGGTCATTGTATGCACTGAAA